TTTTATCATCATTATAAAGGTTAAATGAAGGGTGGGGTTGGTGATGAGGCAATTGTTTATTTCCCTTTTCTAATATATCTTTTTTTTTCATCCTCATCATCAGTTGATTGATCTCAATGAGTTTTATTGTTTCTCTATTGACATTACAATTGATAACTTTTCAGATAATGATGATTATGATTATGTTTACCTTTGTATTATCATCATTTGAGTCTTTTGTCAAATTGATGATTAGTCAATTAAAATGATAACGAATTTAATTTAAAAATTGTTCAACTAATCACTTGAACTTTTCTTTACTTTTTGATATAAAAAAAACCTTATTCTTAAATGAGATTAAATGAAAGCAATTAACTTTATCTCTCATTTGATTTGAAATGTTTTCTGGTTTTCAACATCAATTAAACATGATTTGATTTGATTTGATTAGAAGGATAAAGATGATAAATTAGAGAAAAGTAAGAGAAATGGAAAGGAAGAAAAAAATAATGTTCTTTTCCCTATTTTCTTTTAGTTTCTCATCCGCATCACTTTTTTTATCCTTTTGTTACTCTTAATCCTCAACTAAATCCACTTATGATTGGTCAAATTTTTCATTTCCAATGGATTTGATTGTTTCCAGGAAGATGCTATTAGGGTCAAGATGGATGTTAAATTTTGAAATATCATTTTCATCAATCTCTCTCTCTCACTTTATCCTCATCCCTACTTCCTCTCTCAAAAGATGATGAGCTGACCAATGGACAAGAAAAATCTTGAAAAAGGTTAATGTTTCTCATCTCAAATCATTACAATCTGTGTGGAAAAAAATTTGTTGGTAAGACAAAAAAGTTCTGATGTAGTATTCATACCCCTTACTCACCATCATGATGATGATCATCTCAATCTTCGTGGTATATTGATGAATTGATGTCCATTAGATGATTATGATGTTGATGGTCAAGGAAAAAAATGATACCTGAACATAATCGATAACAGTTATTATATTTTAGTTTCTTTTGCTGATATCTGACTTTTCGGGCAAAATATTATCATTATCCTCTCTCAGATTACATGATTATCATTCAAATGACCATGATAGTGAATATATTTTGATTCATCCATCCAAAGATCAGAATCGGTTTTCTCTTCTCATCAATAATTACAACATTTTCTTCACCCCTTCTCTTGTTGAATAACCGATGATAAACAAATTTGATTGATGATTTTTATCATTATATTTACAGATTCAATTCTCAACCAAACATTGAACTTTTCTGAAATTTTTTCAACTCATTCATTTGACTCATAAATTTGGTTCAATGAAATGTTGAAAATTGTATCCAGTTACCAGAATTTTGGAAGAAAAAAAGACTCGAAAACTAAATACATTATGTATTCTTCATTTGAATTTCAAGTCCTATTGAGATAAACTTTTATGTCTCAACAAATGATTTGTTTCAATTGATTCAAACATGATAAGTTTTTTCATCTCTCTCTCTCTCTCTTGTCAAAGTGACCTAAATTTACAGCTATGTATCACCCTGTTTACCCACTCTCACAGCCTCTTACCACTCTCTTTTCATATGAGCACATTAAATGAGTTGGAAAGTTACAATTTGCTTTTGCATCAAAAATTTTTACCAATAACTTTTTTTCAACGCCATCAAAATATCAAAGGCCTTCAACAACAACAAGCCCAACACTAGACCACCACATAGCTCACCCAATTGCACCCTGTATCACCCTCTAATCTGTATACAGCCGAGTAATAATATCAATTGATTTGATAAAGTAACAACTTTACGCAAAATTGACACAGATAAATGTCCCTTTGGGTTCAAGTCTATTAGCAATGATTTACTATTTTTTCAATCAAAATTGTTGATTGTTGTTATTACAAGTTTGACAACAACAATCAAAGTCCATTATCAACAAGCATAAGCAAGCAATTTATGAATTATTATTATTTACAATCAAAACTGAATAAATGGCAATTGCTTTTTATTATTATCATCATTTGCTTTTTTTCAGTATAACCATCATGTAAACATGTAGCATATAACATGATATCTATCATGTTGTTAAACTTTATTTTGTTTTATTTTTTTCTGCTGAGAAAACAACTTTTTCATCCTCATCATCAGGAAATTCATGTTGTTGATAATGTTTCAATTTTCATGATGAAAATTTCCAAAGTTCTGATTGCAATGAACAAAAATCATTTCTCATCATATCTCTCTCGTAATATCAACTTTCATTTACACTTTCGAATTGAGAACTTTACTCTGATTTGGTCGAAAATCGATGAAGAGAGAGAAAAATGAATATCTAATCATTACTTAGATTTCAATTCTGATTCTAATTCTGATTATTATTATTATTATGGTGATTGATGTGCTTCCAGAAGCAGAAATATATCTTAGTACGTTTATTATCTTGACCTGAATTGTTGTGAATTTGCCCTTTATTGATATTATATTAGCATATCGGACAATAATTAACTTGATTTATTGACCATCAAGGAGAAAAATGTTGAATGAATGAGGAAACGGAAAAATAATTCCCATTGCCGATAATTCATCTTATTTCATGATAATCACTCAGTAGTTTTTCTGTTGATGATAATTTCTTATCTGTTATTGTTACGTTTTTATTTTCTGACTTAACTGTTTATCATTTATCAATCTTAATTAAATCAATTCTCAGATTTGTTAACATCTTTTTGCTTTTTGCTCTAGTTGATTATCGATTGTCGATTTTCATGTTGATGATCAATTTTTAATGATTCACATTTGCGATCGATTAACTAACATTTCATCAAATTGTCAACAATATTGTTAATTAATCTCTCTCTCTCTCTCATTCTCTCTCACTTTCTCTCGAACGAAAAAAGCAAAACGAAAGCGAAAAAGGAAAAAAAATTAGAACAGAAAATTTTTTACTCTTTTCGTTTAGTCTCTTCCTCTTTCGATATAATAATAATTTATGATAATCTTCACTCTTAGGATAGAGATAATAATCTATCGATTATCGAATTTGTAAAGTCCTTGAGACTCTGAGTTCTAACGTGCTAACGATCTATTTTTCTTGTTGAAAATCGATAAAAAGAAGAGTTCGAAAAAAAAAGTTTCGCTCATCTAAATTTGTCCATTTAGATACTTTTATGGTCATTCAATTGTAATCAGAACTTCTTGAAGAGTTAATTAACCTGTTAATTGTTACCTGATTCGTTAAGAGCCTAAATGAAGATTATTTGAACAATTAGTGAAATTGTTAGTCTATCAATTTGATTGTTACATATCTCAAGTTGATAGATTTTATTAAATTGATAATCAAAATCATCTAAATCACTTTCGTTGACCTTAACTTTTTTCTGTGTTAAATGTTCATGTCCAACTTCATATACAAGAGATAATAATGATTAGTTTATAAAGTTGATTACGATTATTATTATAACCAATTAACTGTCAATCATTTTAGTTTCCAGAAAATTAAACTTTCTATCTCTCTCTTTTTCTGATAATATTAAATGATTGACTTTTTGCTTATTTGTTGATCGACAGCATCATCATCAATCTAAATCATCATTCTTATTATCACCTTCTCACTGTGATCATGATTAATGTCATCATTTGATAAAAATCAATTGGAAAGATTTACAATGCAAAAGTTTCAAGAGATTCAGAGAGTATAAGTTGATATTCTGAATACTTGATTGTCAATCAGTTCATTGAATTCAATTTGTTGATGATGATGATGATGATGAGATGTTATTTCATTTGATTTCTTTCCTTGTATTTACATGGTTAGAAAATATCAATAATCATATTCAAGAAAATGATGTTGATGAGGAAGACAAAAAAAAAGAAGATGATAAGATTCTTGAACATGAATAAGAAACTCAATGGATAGTTTTCAACATTTTCTCTCAGCTAATATGAGCCACCCCATTATCACCCTCTTTTGTGTCCCATCATCTCAAGTATACACCAAGAATCATCCTTCTTACATTACTCATTATATTCACACTCTTTTCTGTTATTGTTGTTGTTACATAATATTATCAAATGAGTCAAACATTTACACTTATATATAAACCAAGATGGAGGAGGAAAAAGTTTCCCACTCCCATTACCATTGGTCACTCGTAATGGAATGAAAAAGCGTGATGATGACCATCATCAGAATGACAAAGTGTCCTGGTTGCTAGTTTTTTCGTTTCGTTGACTGGACATGGAAATATTATTATTATCATGATGGTTATCGTGTTGTGGTCAGTTTAGTTTATTTAATATTCAAATACAAGATCCCAAGATAATTAATCTAATGAATGAAATGGGAAGTGGAAATGGTTTGAGGTGGACAATAAGAGTAACCAAATTGATTAGTTGAATTGGTTGATAATCTTAATCGATAGAAATCAATTGGATTTTTTCCTCATTCTGTTTTATACAGAAAATTTGATTAATTGTTTACAATTAATTTTCAACTGTTTGTTTCCGTTTAAAATTATGCAAATGATTAATATCATTGCTTGTGACAATTTAAATCAATCAACTAATCGATATGCACTTTGGTTTGGTTTAAGAGTCTCAATTGGTAACAGATTTGATTGAGTCCAATGAGACTAATCAGTTAATTGAACAATTAATTTTCTTAGGGGAAAAAATTATTAATCAAATTAAAGTTTAACAATTGGGGAAAAAAATTCGTAACAATATCAACTGAATTGTGGATTTGAAATCTTTTAGAATGAACTTTTTTCACTCCATCATCATGATCTCAGTTCGTTGGGAATGAATGAGAAAAAAGTTCAACATTCATCATGGAAACAATTTTGTCACTGCTAAATAGTAGTAACATGAACATTAAATAATCTAATCGTATTAAATATTATCCAAGTAGTTTAGATAAATTAATTCTGAGCTTGTAAAAGTTTCTAATATTTTCGATTGTCAAGTTGATTGGATTAATATTCTTACTGATTGATTTTGTATTCTTTTTGAATCATTTTCAAGGTCCACCCGATGCACCAGAAAATTGTACACTGACCAATATAACTGCCCATACACTGACCATTGAATGTAATCCAGGTTATTCTGGTGGACTTGAGCAAACCTTTCACCTTGAGGTTTACATTAACGCCTCAGGGAAAAAACGCCTTATCAACAATTTAACCTCCTCTGAGTATCCATTTTTTATAGCCAATGCTTTGCCCGCGGGCAATTTATTTCACTTGGTCACTTATGCTTCCAATGGTCGTGGACAAAGTCCAATTGTAACAATTAACGGTAACACTTTGGTCGCTGAGAGATGGCAAACAGGTAATTGTGATCAATATTGATTCCATTGATTAGATTGTTAACTTAATATCTTCTCTCTCTCTCTCTCTTTCTTAATTGTTATAATTAAATTTAGATTATTTTGAAGAAACTGTTGTCTCAACTTCAGTGTTACTTTTAATGGGAACCATTGTTACCTTAATTATTGTCGCAATTATCATCATCTTGGTGATGAAGATACGTAGTGATGATGATTCCCGAAAAGGTGAGAGTTAATTGTTGACAATTTAAAGGTTAAATTGTGATACTTTTTTGTTAATTCATTTTTGATTGATTGATGTTGATCTAAATTTAATTGTGAATTTAAATTATCTACCTCTCAGTGGGCAAAGTATCAGAATATCAATTAATCAACGTTAATTACTCTTGATTATAATGATAATTAGCACAATTTTAATCACAATTTGATTCAAAAGTGACCACTAATTAAATCACAATTTTGCTTTTGTTTTCCTCTTATAAATATTAAGTATTATAACTTTTTGTTAATTGTTGATTTAATTTCAGTCTAGTCACTTTTTTATTCCCAATTTTTGATTTGCCATTAGGGAAACAATTAGTTGATCATCTTGATTGATTATTTCAAATTAAATTTCTGATTTAGTTTGTGACCAACAAAAGTTAATTGTGAATATCTTTTTTTTATCATTTGACAATTAACTTAATAAATAACAATATGGAGACTGTGATTCAAATGAAATTATTAATATTAATCAAATAAGTTGATCACTAGAACAACAATCAACTAATCGTAATGATTTGTTGTAAACCATAAAAAGTGACAATAAAACAAATAGTAAACAATTTATGGACAATTTAGTAATCATAATCGGTAGTAAATGTAACAATCAATTGGTAATAAAGTTAATCATGATTAACACATGATGATAATAAATTGTAATTGCTAATAAATAAACAACAACAATCAGCAATTAAATTATAATCACTAATCTAATTGTTGTGTCTTCTTCTTAATCACAGATAAATTAAATTTTATCAATCTTTCCAGAATTTCAGGAAACAACAATAAGTAAGTACTAATTAATAGTTTGATTAATTACCAAGTCAAATTTTTACCAATCAAGTTGATTAAAACTAAATTTAATTTAATTGCTGTTCTGTTGTTACAATTATATGATTAGATGCGAGTTAACAACTAATTGTCTTGTTGGAAGCGTTTCAATTCAAGGTAATTGCGGAGAGTCACTAATCACCACAGCCAATACTAATCATCTAATTGATCAACATGGTGATGAGTCGAATGGTAAACAATTAACTGAACAATTGGAGTGTATTGATGAGATTTGGGGACCTGATTTGATTCCATCACAATTAACTTTAGATTCGTCCGGTTTCATGACAATTCCCGTTCTAACGGGAACAATTGAAGCCGAAATCTATGAATTCAATTCAATGGCTCCAAATGATTCTGGTTTAATTAATCAACATCATTATCATCATCATCACAATACCCTCACACCCTCACCAGTTTCCCACCTTCATCATCATCATCACCATCAACCTAATCAACAACAACAACAATTACAATCAACCTGTGAATCCAATCAGGGTAACACCACAATCGAGGCTTCAAATTTTTATGGTAATCACTGCCATCTAACAACAACAGGGTTTTAATTAATTAACCATCAGTTTCCTCTCACTTAATTAACCTGACAATTAGTTGAACAATTGATGAAAAAATTGATTCTCAACAGGAAAAAAAAAATTCAACTCCAATCACTTTTTGTTAATTGTAACCGAGAGGAAAAATTTTCTATTAGCTTTTTAATTGTGTTGGATTAGAAGTGAAATTTATTTAATCCATTGAAACTTTGCCCAAACTTTTTTTTCACTTTGTCAATTTAATTAATCACAAGCAAACAATTAACCTTAATTGTTACTCTATTAACTGTTATTGTAATTTAAACCAAAACAAAAGCTCAATTTAGTTTATATGACAAGAAATTAATTTTATACATTGTATTCAATTTTAATTGTAACGATTGAAAATCTTACACACAAAATTTATATTGATATTAATTGTTGAACAAATTGTAATTAATTGTAAATCTATTGATTGTTTTTAATAATTTAAATTCTGTAAATTTGATTGATTTGATACTTCAATTGAATATATAAAATATATATGATTGTTTAATTATGCAAATTTAGGTTTTAATTGTGAAAACTTAAATTGTTACCATGAAATATTAATAATTTTGCCAAATGAACAACAATTAAATGAAATTTGATTGATCAACTGCATCTCAAATCAATATTAATCGCTGATGATTAGTTGATTGTAATGATTTCGTATCATGATTAACATGATTTTTTTTCATTCTAATCCATTGATGATAATTGATGATTTTGTTGTTGTGATTTAATTGAATGAAAAGTTAATGAAAAACGATTTCAATGTAATCAAAGTTTAAATCAAGGGTTGATTTAGTTAGATGATTAAATTAATCAATCTTTACATAAAAAATGATCAAATTGATCCAGTTTTTAACAATAATCAATGACATTGTCTGTCCTTGATTGTTTTGCCAAAAAAAGACAACAATCAACTTTGATCATCACTTTTTTTTCAACGATAATCAATTGTAAAGTGATAATAAATTACTTTTGATGATATAACTCATTGATTAGAAAATGATATTTTTTTTCTCATCATGATTAGTTGATTGTTAACCATTTACAATGAACAAAAAGTTTCAAGTTAAAAGTTAACATTGATATTTAATCATCTTTGTTGTTGATTGTTTCAAGCACAATTTATTTATTTTTTCGCGTGAGAATCACTTGATTAACTGATTTAGTTTTCGATGGCGAGGAGAAAATATTAATAATAAAGAGAATAGAAAATGATCTGATCAGAACTTATCTCTCTTCATGGTAAATGTTTGATTCAGCAAAATTTGACGCAATTAACACCAATGAGTTGTGAAGATGATCACATGATGAAAAGTGCTATCAACAACTAAATCACAATTTCATGTGACATGATTAAGATTATATTGTAAGATGAAACCATGAATAGATGTTCAAATTTTATATAAACTCTATCATCAGATGGAAACGGAAATACATGCCTTGAATTTGACAATCAATTGAAATGGATGAAAGTACCTTGGTGATGATAATCTTCATCAATTCTTTTTCCTTTTTCCTTTTATTTCATCATCTCTTCAATTTCTCCCTCTCTCTCTCTCTTACCTTTCTCTCTTCATCATCATCACCTCCATTAGGATGAAACTCAGTGAATAAAAAAGGTCCTGAGTGTAGATAAAAAAAAGTTCATCTGATTGAATCTCAAGAGACACACCAAAAAGCCAACTATCTATTGACATGATACACTTTCAGCAGAATTTTTCTCTTTTTTTCTCTCCATCCTCATCCCTATTTTTATCGTTTGACGAAGGATAAAATAGAACGAGAAAAATGTTAAAAACAACGGAAAAAAGGCAGAGAGAAATTCGAAGATCGAACTTTTTCTTCACTTTCATCTTCCTATTTGAACAAAACAATCGAAATGAGAGAAAAATTGTAAGATGATCAGGATGATGAAGAGAAAGATTCAAGTATCGAGTAAATAAATTCAGTACAACAATTTTCACTTTAACCATTATATTCAATGTATTGGATACATTCAATGGTGACACAAAAAATTTCAACATGAAGATAATGATGATGATGATGACAAAGAATTAAGAGTTTGATACATTTCCTCATCTTCATCTTCATCATCATCTGATTCTCATCTCGATTAGTAAACAAGCTTCAATGATTCTTGTTTTTGTTTCTCTCTCTCTTCTCTCACTTTCTTCATCTCTAACGGTTTTTATACTTGATTGTGTTAATATGTTTCCTCATCTTATTTGTTGTTAATTTATCTCAACAATAAGATCCAAAAATCATCTTTATCTTCATCATCATCTATTTACAGAATCACTGAGAAGATAATCATCATCCCTTTTTTGTCAATTCTAAGACTTTCATATAATAATTTAGATTGAGTTGATCATCACGTTAACTATCATTTCTATTTAGACAATTAATCTGTAAAAACGTAAACAATCAAACAAATACAACTCTTTTAACAATTAATTGATCATCGAACCGCTAATTGTCAGCTCAATTTATCATCTCTCATCAGAAGGTGAAAAGATAGGAAAATTAATCAATTGAATAGATTATCTGACAATTAAGAGTTGATCAAAATACTTACTCATATTACGAATCATTAATGGAAAAAGTAAAATTTCAGGCAAAGGGTAAGAGCTGCAATCGATCCCCACCATGGTAATTGTTCAAGAATTGCCAAGAGTGATTTAAAGATTATATCTAAATATAAGATTAAAGGTCGGAATCATTAAAGATACAGTCTTTTTCACCTTCTTTCTTTATAATAAACAATCATTAGAATTAATTTGTCTTCAGGGCTGAAGAGGTTTAATTCTGTTTTTCTCACTAGAATTGACCCTTTTTCTTCTAAATAAACTTTTTCAAAGGAATTGATCTGTACCAATTCAATCATAAGTTGTAGATAATTTTCAATTCTAATTGTTTATCAAAACACCAGAAAGAAAATTAATTCATCGAAGGTTTTGAAGAAAATTATCGAAGTTGTAGAATTGGTCAGAAATGATTATATCGAAAGATAGTGAAAATCTACAATCACATGAAGATATATTCCTGATTGTATTAGTAAAACATATTGATAATTAATTGAATGAAAAAAGTTTAATTATAATGAGAAAATGAATTGTTTTGAAAATAAGAGATTAACTCTGATTCTCTGACCAGATTAAGTTTTTCTTCCAAAATAGTTTAACTCTAAAGAGAAAGAAGGTGAATCCGAAGGAAAGACTGTATTAACCAATGTATGTTAATGTTAATATACTAACTGGTTGGCGCAAACCAAGTTAATCCAATGTCAGAAGCAGTTAATAAGGTTTCAGGTAAATCGTTTATGTCGATTGGTGAAGTAAATTCAGTTAAATCGACATCAGTTATTGATACACTATCTTGAGCAACATTCGGTGATGATCCAGTTTTACCAGCATTTGATAATTTTCCCAATTCATCAGCAATTTGAGATAAATTCAAAGGTCCCAATTCAATATCAGTAGATTGTGATGAAAATGATGAAGATCCTGATGAGCTTGATGACAGAGGAAGATATTGATGCTCTCGATGACCAGAATATATTCCAATCAATTGTATGATGTTTCGTCGTGAAATTAAACAATTTTCGTTGATTAGAATTCGGTAAACAATTAGTTATTCTAAAGGTAACATGTGAAGAGTAACTTCGGTTAAATTGATTATCACATTTTATCCGAAAACATCTTAATCTGTTCATCTCACATCGAAATGGAAGCGATGATCTAATTGCGAACATTTTGTCAACTGGAAACTAAATTTTAACAATTAAAGTCTAATTGAATGAATTTAAATATACATGCTGAGATTGAATAACAATGATGATGGCGATGATCCCTCATTGACTATTGTTTTCAGAAGATTGAAACCAGTTTTCTCGTTCAACGAGTCGCACAATTTAACGAAAGGCGGAAAGGTCAAAACGGAGATCGGTGGTGTTGGATCAGGTGGTAGAAAAGAAAGTGAACAAAAAGAAAAGCGCGAAACTTGAAAATCTATTTTCTCTCAACCAGAAATTCGAATAAAACTTAATAAAATCATATTTCATAATTCATAATATAATAAAGATCTCGGTGATCAATAAACGACAATCTTTATTCTTTATTTTAAAAGTAAAAAGCAAAGAGAAAATCATCAAGAAATTACGACAGGAAATGAAATTTCAGGTGAAGAAAAACTGAAAAATCAAACTAAATTAATCAAATTTAATTGTTAAACATCGTTATAAAATTGTAATCCACGATTCTTTAACTAATGAGAGAATTCATAATGTCCATGGAGTCCATTTCTTGTAATTTCGAACAAAAGTGTCGTGATGATAATGTTCATCAAAAGTGAAAATGAATCTGCACATTCTAAGAGATCAGAATAGTCGGTGGTTCTTCTCGAACTATCGATCGGCTGTAAAAAGACTAATCTCGGTGATCGATAAACTCTTGTACGTCGATTTTTCCTATGTATCACCGATGTTTCTCTTCCCAAAGTATCTCGAAGTCTTAACCTTTGGAAAGTGTTCCGCTTGCTAAGAGTCAACTCGTTCCATGAAATGAGAACCAAATGATTTCTGAAATAAATGCTTCAGATTTTGTTATTAGAAACGAAAGGTTAGTAAGATTGTTAACATAATCATAGTTTGTTGCCTTCCATTAAATTGTAATGCAATCGAACGAGTCGATACTTTGAATTTTCTATACGATTCAATGTTATCATCTAAAGTTGTGACTGCAGAACCTGAAACTTGATCAAACTCCAAGTGTCGAAATTATTTTCAAATCAATATTCTCCTGTTCATCAGGTAATCCAATTTTAGATAAATTTTCAGGATAAAGTGCAGCCAATACCATCGTACAACTCCTGAGATTTGTATTAAGAACTGATCCAATTAAAATCTCCCAAGAGGATATTTCAGTGGAAACCTGATCCATAGGTGCGTCATCAACATATAAGATATCCCAATGGAAACAACGGTCATGTCGCCAGTACCTGTTTTTAAGGATTTTATTTATTGACCGTTTATGAGTTTTGGTATTTACATCCAACCATTTGTCATCTTCCCCTTCTCTCAACCTAGTATTTAGCTCGAAATTATCAGCAAATGAATATGAAAGAATAATCATTAAACAAAGAGTAGCGTTGATTAGAAGAGCACAAATCAAATTTTTATCCATTTCGATTTACAATTTGAAACAAGAAAATTATCACAGTAAAAGTCCAACTCGTTTGAATGATCACAAACAACTGACCATCGCCTATTCTCAAGTATATTAACTCTCTTTCCTTTTCCGTTTGCTAAAGCAATTATGTTCTTTTCCCTCTTCTTCTTCTTCTTCTTCCATGTTGCTACCACTACCAATCAGGATGTTGATGCTAATAATTTTAAGGAGCTTAGGTATACAGCCTCAGATCCGGAGACAGTGGACCAAGAGACAAGCTTCCAACCAGTTAAATCGAAACACCTTAAACGACGTAAAGTACAAGGAATAAACCTGTCAGATGGTAGGTGTTGAGATCTTAGTATGCAATCACCTTCAACCCAATCATCAAATACTATTTTACTACATCCAACTCATCTTCATCAACCTCAACCATACCCTCTGTTACATCGTCAACCTGTAATTCAGTTAACATTTCAATGACTGCTCGTGGATATGAAAGTGAAAGGAATATTGTGCCGATGAATATCGGCGATGTAAAGAATATCTAAATCATCGTAAACTTGCATCAAGTATGCCCCATTCAGAGCAAAATTCAGCTGATAACCTCGACATGGAATCATCCTGTTCATATCTGTTTCAGGACGGATGCCTATCTTACCAACCCCTCCTGGGCCTCCAGCATCTCCAACAAATCATCAACACCTAAAGTCTCCACATGCTGATATTAAAATGGGTTCGTTATTGCTGTTACACCTCCGGTTGTTATTACAGGTAATTCTGCTGTAGCCAACAAAGGTCCTTCACCAACAAACATTACCTTAAATAGCGTTAACAACAACAACAATAATAATAATTAAAAAAGATGCTAACAACAATATCAGTACCTAGTATTGACAATAGTCCTAAAATGCTTCCACCACGATTCTGGTTTATCATTACAAACCGTTTCATCACCATCCACATCATGTAGCCCTTATCCCAGCTCCAGTCCTAATTGCATCTCACCTTCTGGATTTTCACTCTTCATCATCAACATATTTCTCGAGGGATCGAAAGGATCAAAAATAATAATAATAATAATAGTACTACAGCTACTACTACTAATAATCAAATTAACAAATTATCATCATCTTCATTATCATCATCTGAATCAATAATTGATGCAACTACTACATCTAAAGATAACCTCCAACGATCAAAAGTGAAATCATTTTGACCAAGAAATTTCATCAAAAATGGTAAAATATTGGTATTTTTACCAATAATAGTAACCAATAAACTCGCTGCCGTTGCTATTCGTCCTAAAGATTTTGATACACCCAAAGAGACCAAAATGGAAAATCAAAAGTCATTTAGAAGATAATTTACAACCAACAATAATAATAATGATAATAAACCCAAGAATGATAAAAAATGGATAAATCTACAATTGTTTACATCATCATCATCATCATCATCTTCTTCTTCTTCTTCTTCTTCTTCTTCTTCCTCAACCTCCAACACCAATCAAACCTCTACTTGTTCATCATCCAAAGTACCAAAATCAACAACCTCGACATCTTTAATTGTTGCGAGAACTGTTGCTAAATGTTCATCAAAATCAGCACCAAGCAATTCCAAAACATTGGAAGCCTTATTATCTCCTCCTGCTGAAAAAACTCCCACTTTTGATATGAAAAATAGTAACAAATTTATAGAGACAAGAGTTGCCTCTATTAAAAGTGATGTTACATCATTATCATCTATTTACAGAATTACTGAGAAGATAATCATCATCCCTTTTTTGTCAATTCTAAGACTTTCATATAATAATTTAGATTGACTTGATCATCACGTTAACTATCATTTCTATTTAGACAATTAATCTGTAAAAACGTAGACATTCAAACAAATACAACTCATTTTAACAATTAATTGATCATCGAACCGCTAATTGTCAGCTCAATTTATCATCTCTCATCATCAATTCTAACATGATAATAATAACAAAAAATTTATTAACATCCTTAATGTCCAATTGAGATATCGATTCTTGATTCTTGTCCATTCATGTACAGGTATTAATCTCATCAGTTTGAGTTGATAGTTGACTAAAAAAATTATCTAATTAACGATTTAACATCAATTATAAACCAATCGGGGATTAGATTCATCTAATTTTAAGGCTACTCTTCAAGTTGACTTTCCAATTATCCATTATTTTTTTTTGTCTTCTTCTTATTATGTCTTCATCATTTCCTCTTCCTCCTTGTTAGTGTTTATATTTTCTTGTTGTTGTTGTTATTCAATCAAATTGTTGTCATCCTCTGATGGGCCCATGTTCATTTCTCGTCCTTGTCCAAATAGTAATGATGACTTGAAGATAACTTTTCGTTAATTATATTGCTTGTATATAAACTTGCTGACTCCAAATAGATTCCAATCAATATCAAGATGATGAGATGAAGATAATCATCTATAAATGATGAAACATTTGTATTGCAAACCCTTCATATTAGATAATCAACTTGGTCTTAAAATTTAAGATTGAAACTTTCATCTTAAATATAAGTAAATACTAAATAATAAACCATCAACTTGATATACAATTTGTTAATTAACTGGTTTATATAATAGAAATCACATATTTCTTGAATTTCAAGAGTGAAATGATTTAAATTAGTCAACTAGTAATAAATACTATTTACAATAAATGAGAACAGAAATTGTATCTCCTAAATTGTTTCATCGTAATGATCAACACTTTAATCATTACAACAGTTTGACTTGGTGGTCTCCATGAGAGTGTAACTATTTGATGATTGGTAAAACTATCCATCGATTTTAATTAGATTGTCCAAATTGATTGTTATCTTAATTCCAGGGACTTCAAGCGTTTTTATCCTGCTTCATTTGTGCTGCTTTTAATTTAATATCTCGATTCATCTTTGCTTCATAAACTTCTTTAACAAGCTTAGCCGCTAATTGAATATCTATAAGGATATAAAAGTTAATTGTGGTGAAAAAAAAGAAAACAATTAGAAATCACATTGAATAAGAGATTAACTGAAGCCAATGATTAACCTTTTTGCATTTCCATTGTACTTTCTAATGAAGACTTCGACATCTCTTGGGTCGCTTTAGCTGCATCCGGAATCTCAAGTACTTCCCGTAATTTGGTTTTCCTCAATATGAAACCTTGTCCCAAACTAATTAAATTGTTGGTTAACCAGTAAGTGTTAAGAGCAGCGGGAAATGATGCACCAACAATAATCACAACTGGACATAAAACAAGAGGCATAAACCTAATTGCTTTGGCAGAAATAGGATCAACGGGAACTATTATCATTAGGGAAACAAAGATTACAAATTAGTAATTGGAAACTTGATTCAGATAATGACAAAACCATTGAATTCATGGCGGAAATTGAATTATATTTACCTGTTTCATTTCCATTGGTTATCACATAATAAAGGGTTAATGATGTTAATGCTGGTAGGACAAAGTAGGGATCTGGAATTGTTAAATCGGTAAACCATGAAAGTCCTTCGGTTCTCATTGATTCAATCGGATAATTGGCCATTCCTCTTATGGCGAAAAAGCAGCTTGAAAAGACGACACCCTAAGAGTAATTAACAAGAAATTAGAAAAAAAATTGTCAATAGAAATTGTGATTTACAATTCAGTTCTCTTAAAAACTAACCATTCCAAGCATTGGTGTTAATGATTTTAAAACGGTCAATTGGTTTGACTTCATTGCATCTAAAAGCTTTACAGCAGATTTGACCTCTGGTGAATTAAAAGAAATGATAAATTGTGATCAAATTGTAAGTCTATGGTTAAGTTAATTGTTCTCACGTAAAGCATGATTTCCACTTTCGATTGTAGATCTAAACTCAGTTCGACAAGCTTCAAGATCCTTTACATTCTTTGAAATGTTTGATGTTGATTCTGAGATAAATTGAGAAAAGAGAAGGTGAAAAGACAGGAAAATTAATCAATTGAATAGATTATCTGACAATTAAATGTTGATCAAAATACTTACTCATATTACGAATCATTAATGGAAAAAGTAAAATTCTCAGGCAAAGGGTAAGAGCTGCAATCGATCCCCACCATGGTAATTGTTCATGAATTGCCATGAGTGATTTAAAGATTATATCTAAATATAAGATTAAAGGTCGGAATCATTAAAGATATTAACTAATGTATGTTAATGTTAATATACTTACTGGTTGGTGCAAACCAAGTTAATCCAATGTCAGATGCAGTTAATAAGGTTTCAGGTAAATCGTTTATGTCGATTGGTGAAGTAAATTCAGTTAAATCGACATCAGTTATTGATACACTATCTTGAGCAACGTTTGGAGATGATCCAGTTTTACCAGCATTTGATAATTTTCCTAATTCATCAGCAATTTGAGATAAATTCAAAGGTCCCAATTCAATATCAGTCGATTGTGATGAGAATGATGAAGATCCTGATGAGCTTGATGACACAGAGGAAGATATTGATGCTCTCGATGACCAGAATATATTATAATCCATTGTACGATGTTTCGTCGTTAAATTAAACAATTGTCGTTGATTAGAATTAGGTAAACAATTAGTTATTCTAAAGGTAACATGTGAAGAGTACATTCGGTTAAATTGATTATCACATTTTATCCGAAAACATCTTAACCTGTTCATCTCACATCTAAATGGAACCGATGATCTAATTGCGAACATTTTGTCAACTGGAAACTAAATTTTAACAATTAAAGTCTATTCTTTAATTAAAAGTTGAAGAATTTAAATTAACATGCTGAGATTGAATAACAGGAATAAACAAGAAAACGAAATGATTACCGATCAGGTGGTAGAAAAGAAAGTAAACAGAAAGAAAAGCGCGAAACTTGAAAATCTTTTTTCTCTCAACCAGGAATTCGTAATAAAACTTAATAAAATGGACATTTATTCTAATATCATGAAAGAATTGATTTAATTGTTCATAATCTAATAAAGATCTCGGTGATAAAATAATCAAGAAATGACGATCCTTATTCTTTATTTTTTCAGAAAAAAGCAAAGAGAAAGTTATCAAGAAATTACGATAGGAAACGAAATTTCAGGTGAAGAAAAACTGACTCAGTTTAACTGAGTGAAAGATCAAAATTAAATTAACCAAATTTAATTGTTAAAAGTTCGTTATCTAATTGTGATCAATGAGAGAACTTGTAATGTCCATGAAGTCCATTTCTTGTAATTTCGAGTAAAAGTGTCGCGATTATAATGTTCATCAAAATTGAGAATGAATTTGCACATTCTAAGAGATCAGAATAGTCGCTGGTTCCTCTCGAGATATCGATCGGTTGCAAAAAGACCAATCTCGGTGATTCATAGATTGTTCTACCTCCACGATTTTTATGTGTCACCGATGTTTCTCTTCCCAAAGTATCTCGAAGTCTTAAACGTTGTAAAGAGTTTCGCTTTTGAACAGTCACCTCGTTCCATGAAATGAGAACCAAATGATTTTCTGAAATAAATGCTTCAGATTTTGTTACAAACCAAACTCGAGTAAAATCACGATTAACATGATCGACAGTTTGTTGATCTCCAGTAAATTGTAATACAATTGAACGGGTTGATACTTTGGAATTTTCATATGATTCAATGTGATCATCTAAATATGTGTTTGCAGAGCCCGAAACTTGCTCATCAATTCCAAAGTGAAGTTTATAATAGTTAATCAAATCGTTAGTATTCAATTGTTCATCAGGTAATCCAATTTTTGATAAATTTTCAGGATAAAGTGCAGCCAATATCATATCATACACTCTGCCAATCTCATTATTAACTGAACCAGTTAATATTTCCCATGAGGATATTTCTGTGGAAACCTCATCCAGAAGTGCCACATCACTATGCATGATTTCCCAATCGTAACTTAATCCAGATCGATAGTACTTATTTTTAAGAATTTTATTTATTGACCTTTTATGAGTTTTGATGTTCACATCAAACAATTTTCCACTATGATCTACATCTGACTCAATGTTCAGCTCGAAATTATCAGCAAATGAATATGAAAGAAGAATCATTAAACAAAGAGTAGCGTTGACTATAAGAGCACAAATCAAATTTTTATCCATTTTCGATTCACAATTTGAAATAAGAAAATTGTCACAGTAAAGTAAAAGTCCAACTTGTTTGAATGATCACAAACAACTGACCATCGCCTATTCTCAAGCATTTACTCTCTTTCCTTTTCCGTTGACTAAAGCAATTATGTTCTTTTCCCTCTTCTTCTTCTTCTTCTTCTTCTTCGCCTTCTTTCCTGATAATTGCTATAAAAACTGACCACTAATATTAGTCCAAGTTTATTTTTGGAGCTAAATCCACTTATTATTATCATTTAACTAAATCAACCCTTGATTTAGTAAGATGATCAAATCAACGTTTACATAAAAAATGATCAAATTGATTTAGTTTTTAACAATAGCCAATGACATTGTCTGTCCTTGATTGTTTTGCCGAAAAAAGATAAAAATCAATTTTGATGATCATATTTTCAACGGTAGTCGATTGTAAATTAATAATAAGTTGTTTTTGATTATATAACTCATTGATTAATATAAAGTAGGATCTGGAATTGTTAAATCGGTAAGTACTGGTTTTCATTGATTCAATCGGATAATTGCCATTCCTCTTATGGCGAAAAGCAGCGAAAAGACATTCCTAAGAGTAATGAAAAATTAGAAAAGATTGTCAATAGAAACTATGATTTACAGTTTAATTTAGTTCTCTTAAACAACCATTCAAGTAAAGGAAAAGTAAAATTCTCAGGCAAAGGGTAAGAGCTGCAATCGATCCCACCATGGTAATTGTTCATGAATTGCCATGAGTGATTAAAGATTATATCTAAATATAAGATTAAAGGTTGAAATCATTAAAGATATTAACTAATGTATACATTAACATACTTGTTAATATATGTTAATGTTAACAAGGAGGAAAAGGAAATGATGAGGACATAATGATGGACAGATGAATCGTCCCGATGGTTTATAATTGATGTTAAATCGTTAATCAGATAATTTTTAGTCAACTATCAACTCAAACTGATGAATTAATACCTGTACATGAATGGACAAGAATAAGAATCGATATCTCAATTGACATTAAGGATGTTAATAAATTTTATTATTATTATCATGTTAGAATTGATGATGAGATGATAAATTGAGCTGACAATTAGCGGTTCGATGATCAATTAATTGTTAAATGAGTTGTATTGTTTGATTGTCTACGTTTTAAATTAATTGTCTAAATAGAAATGATAGTTAACGTGATGATCAAGTCAATCTAAATTATTATATGAAAGTCTTAGAATTGACAAAAAAGGGATGATGATTATCTTCTCGTGATTCTGTAAATAGATGATGATAATTGATAATTTTGTTGTTGTGATTTAATTGAATGAAAAACGATTCCAATGTAATCAAAGTTTAAATCAGGCTTGCTTTAGTTGATGCTTAGATGATTAAATTAATCAATCTTTCTATAAAAAATAATCAAATTGATCCAGTTTTCAACAATAAATTGTGATTAAAAAGGTTTTAGGTAAATCGTTTCGGTGATCAAAGGAGCAATACATTCAAATGTCAATCCTATTATCGATTCTTTATTTTTGAGAAAAAAGCGAAGAAAAAATTATCCAGAAATTTCAGGGAAGAAAACCAATCGAGTAAAAGATCCCAGTTGAATTATTGTTAATAAATCAATATTCAATTGCAATCCATGATTCTTCAATCATTGAAAGAATTTGTAATTTCCATGAAGTCCATTTCTTGTAATTTCGAGCAAAAGTGTCGTGATGATAATGTTCATCAAAAGTGAAAATGAATCTGCACATTCTAAAAGATCAGAATAGTCGGTGGTTCCTCTCGAACTATCGATCGGCTGCAAAAAGACCAATCTCGGTGATTCATAGATTGTTCTACTTCCACGATTTTTATGTGTCACCGATGTTTCTCTTCCCAAAGTATCTCGAAGTCTTAAACGTTGTAAAGAGTTTCGCTTTTGAACAGTCACCTCGTTCCATGAAATGAGAACCAAATGATTTTCTGAAATAAATGCTTCAGATTTTGTTACAAACCAAACTCGAGTAAAATCACGATTAACATAATCGACAGTTTGTTGATCTCCAGTAAATGTTAATACAATGGAACGAGTTGATCCTTTGAAATTTTCATATGATTCAATGCGATTATCTAAAGTTACGGTTGCGGAGCCCGAAACTTGATCATCAACTCCAGAGTGAAGTCGATAATAATTAATTAAATGGTTAAACTTCCTCTGTTCATCAGGTAATCCAATTTTTGATAAATTTTCAGGGTAAAGTGCAGCCAATACCATATCACAACTCCTTATATTTTCATTATGAATTGATCCAGTTAAGATTTCCCATGATGATATTTCAGTGGAAACATGATCTATAGGTGCCACATCAGTATACAATATCACAATTGAAACAAGTTTCATATCGAAAGTACTTATGTTTTAGGATTTTATTTATTGACCTTTTATGAGTTTTGATGTCCACATCAAAAGATTTGTCAGCTTCCACTTCTCTCGACACAATGTTCAGCTCGAAATTATCAGCAAGTGAATATGAAAGAATAATCATTAAACAAAGAGTAGCGTTGACTATAAGAGCACAAATCAAATTTTTATCCATTTTCGATTCACAATTTGAAACAAGAAAATTGTCACAGTAAAGTAAAGTCCAACTTGTTTGAATGGTCACAAACAATTGACCATCGCCTATTCTCAAGTATATTCTCTCTTTCCTTTTCCGTTTACTAAAGCAATTATGTTCTTTTCCCTCTTCATCATCTTCTTCTTCTTCTTTTTCTTTCCTGGTAATTGCTATAAAATCTGACCACTAATATGAGTCCAAGTTTATTTTTGGGGCCAATCCCACTAAGAGGCTTGAAAGAGCATTTCCTTGGTGGTTGTTGTCATGATAGTTTCCATTGGACTTTTTATTTTAACTTATCGCAATATATACATTGATGTTATTGATTTTAAAACGGTCAATTGGTTTGATTTCATTGCATCTAAAAGCTTTACAGCAGATTTGACCTCTGGTGAATTAAGAAATGATAAATTGTGATCAAATTGTAAGTCTATGGTTAAGTTAATTGTTCTCACGTAAAGCATGATTTCCACTTTCGATTGTAGATCTAAATTCAGTTCGACAAGCATCAAGATCCTTTACTTTTTAGAGATGTTTGATGTTGATTCTGTGATACATTGAGAAAAGAGAAGGTGAAAAGACAGGAAAATTAATCAATTGAATAGATTATCTGACAATTAAGAGTTGATCAAAATACTTACTCATATTACGAATCATTAATGGAAAAAGTAAAATTCTCAGGCAAAGGGTAAGAGCTGCAATCGATCCCCACCATGGTAATTGTTCATGAATTGCCATGAGTGATTTAAAGATTATATCTAAATATAAGATTAAAGGTCAGAATGATTAAAGATATTAACTAATGTATGTTAATGTTAATATACTTACTGGTTGGTGCAAACCAAGTTAATCCAATGTCAGATGCAGTTAATAAGGTTTCAGGTAAATCGTTTATGTCGATTGGTGAAGTAAATTCAGTTAAATCGACATCAGTTATTGATACACTATCTTGAGCAACGTTTGGAGATGATCCAGTTTTACCAGCATTTGATAATTTTCCTAATTCATCAGCAATTTGAGATAAATTCATAGGTCCCAATTCAATATCAGTCGATTGTGATGAGAATGATGAAGATCCTGATGAGCTTGATGACACAGAGGAAGATATTGATGCTCTCGATGACCAGAATATATTATAATCCATTGTACGATGTTTCGTCGTTAAATTAAACAATTGTCGTTGATTAGAATTCGGTAAACAATTAGTTATTCTAAAGGTAACATGTGAAGAGTAACTTCGGTTAAATTGATTATCACATTTTATCCGAAAACATCTTAACCTGTTCATCTCACATCTAAATGGAACCGATGATCTAATTGCGAACATTTTGTCAACTGGAAACTAAATTTTAACAACAATTCTATAGCAATTAAAGTCGATTTTCGGATTAAAAGCGAATGAATTTAAATTAACATGCTGAGATTGAATAACAGGAAAAAACAAAAAATCGAAATGATTACCGATCAGGTGGTAGAAAAGAAAGTATTAATTATTAGTATTATAAAGTATCAACTATCAACTCAAACTGATGAGATTATTACCTGTACATGAATGGACAAGAATCAAGAATCGATATCTCAATTGGGCATTAAGGATGTTAATGAATATTTTGTTATGATTCAATCGTATGAAAAACGCTTCCATTGTTATCTAGGTTTAAATCAGGGTTGATTTAGTTAGATGATTAAATTAATCAATCTTCGCACAAAAAATGATCAAATTCAGTTTTTAACAATAAATTGTGATTGGTGATCAAAGGATCAATAAAGTTAAATCTCGATCTTATTATCGATTCTTTATTTTTGGGAATAAAGCGAAGAAAAAATTATCCAGAAATTTCAGGGAAGAAAACCAATCGAGAAAAAATCCGAGTTAAATTATTATTAATAATAATGATAAGTAATTGTAATCCATAGTTCTTTAACTAATGAGGGAATTTATACTGTCCATTGAGTCCATTTCTTGTAATTTCGAGCAAAAGTGTCGTGATGATAATGTTCATCAAAAGTGAAAATGAATCTGCACATTGCAAGAGATCAGAATAGTCGGTGGTTCCTCTCGAAATATCGATTGGCTGCAAAAAGACCAATCTTCGTGATCGATAAACTCTTGTACATCGATTATTTCTATGTGTCACTGATGTTTCTCTTCCCAAAGTATCTCGAAGCCTTAAACGTTGGAAATTGTTCCGTTTGCTAAGAGTCACCTCGTTCCATGAAACGAGAGCCAAATGGTTTTCTGAAATAAATGCTTCAGATTTTGTTTCAAACGAAAGTTGAGTAAAATCGCGATTAACATAATCGACAGTTCGTTGATGTCCAGTAAATTGTAAGTCAATCGAACGAGTCGATACTTTGGAATTTTCATATGATTCAATGTGATCATGTAAAGTTGTTGTTGTAGTGCCCGAAACTTGATCATCAACTCCAGAGTGAAGTCGATAATAATTTGTTAAATCGTTTAATTGCCAGTGCTCATCAGGTAGTCCAATTTTTGATAAATTTTCAGGATAAAGTGAAGCCAATACCATATCATGAAGCCTATTATTTTCATTAAGAACTGACCCAGTTAAGATTTCCCATGAAGATATTTCAGTGGAAACATTATCCATTAGTGCTACATCATTATACATGATATTAAAATGGTACTTGGTTCCATATCGTGAGTACTTATTTTTAAGGATTTTATTTATTGACCTTTTATGAGTTTTGATGTTCACTTCAAACGATTTGTCATCTTCCTCTTCTCTCGACTCAGTATTCATCTCGAAATTATCAGCAAATGAATATGAAAGAAGAATCATTAAACAAAGAGTAGCATTGACTATAAGAGCACAAATCAAATTTTTATCCATTTTCGATTCACAATTTGAAATAAGAAAATTGTCACAGTAAAAGTCCAACTTGTTTGAATGGTCACAAACAACTGACCATCACCTATTCTCAAGCATTAACCTTCTTTCCTTTTCCGTTTCTAAAGCAATTATGTTCTTTTCTTCTTCTTCTTTCCTGATAATTGCTATAAAAACTGACCGCTAATATGAGTCCAAGTTTATTCTTGGGGCTAATCCCATTTATTAGCTTGAAAGAGCATTTCATTGATTTTTGTCATGTTAATTTCGAATGACTTTTTTATTCCAACTTATCGCAATATATTCGCCAAATATTTAATGATTTAAACCAATTGATTAGTAAAACAAGAATCATCCAGCAACTAAAAACAATAATTATCTGATTTCTTCACAATTTACTCAACCAAAGCACAAACAGTAAATATTACCAAAAAAAAGTTGGTTCCATAACTAAAAAGGATAAAAAAGTGAAGAAAATGAGAGACCCTCATCACGATGATTGAATGATACAATTAGAGAGCATAAAGTAGTAGGAGTATAATTTTTTATCTCATCATTTTTCTCTCTTCCTTCTCTTTTTGCCTTCTCTCTTTTTTCATTTTCCTTTTTTTCCTGTGTGTTTAATTTTCTCTTGGTGTCTTTCTCTTGTTTTTTGTTCTTTTTCTCTCTCTGGTGTGGACATCGAGGTCAATAATTTAAGTGATGAACACTTTCGAGATGTTATGGAAGAACTTACCAACCATCAAATTCCGGAGAGAGATAAATGTCCTCTGGTTCGTCGTTTAAATGCCTCCATTAGTGGTTACTTTAAGAGTACCGGTGATGTTGGTTTCAGTAAAAGGTTTCGGTGAAGTTTCGTTGAAATGAACACAAATAATAATCAAACCACCAACGATACAAATAATAATGCTAAGGGTAATCGTAATGGAAAAGAAAAGAAAAAGAAAGCAAAAGATAAAAATCTTTACAAAACTGTTTACACTGCTCAAGATATCGATGGTCACATTGGCGATAAATCAATCGACGATCTTGTCTATTATGATACTGGTAAAGGGAAAATGCGATGTTGCTCAATCCAACAACCTGTGACCAAATTAATTTCTGACTCTGGTATCACAACTAAATCAAAAGTCAAAGATTTCTATCCAACCAATTCTAATGTTAATAAGAAAATTTTGAATACTAATAATGTTGTCATTAATTCTGATGGTTTGAGAAACAAAAAACGTGATACCTCTGCCAATAGTACCCATGTTGCTACCACTGCCAATCAGGATGTTGATGCTAATAATTTTAAGGAGCTTAGATATACAGCCTCAGATCCGGAGACAGTGGACCAAGAGACAAGCTTCCAACCAGTTAAATCGAAACACCTTAAACGACGTAAAGGTACTTCAAAGAATAAACCTGTCGGTGGTGGTGGTGTTGGTGGAGATCTTGGTATGCAATCACCTCAACCCAATCATCAAATATTACTTTCCTCGAGGGATCGAAAGGATAAAAAATAATAATAATAATAATAATAGTACTACAACTACTACTACTAATAATCAAATTAACAAATTATCATCATCTTCATTATCATCATCTGAATCAATAATTGATGCAACTACTACATCTAAAGATAACCCTCCAACGATCAAAAGTGAAATCAATTTTGACCAAGAAATTTCATCAAAAAATGGTAAAAATATTGGTACTTTTACCAATAATAGTAACCAAATAAACTCTGCTGCCGTTGCCATTCGTCCTAAAGATTTTGATACACCCAAAGAGACCAAAATGGAAAATCAAAAAGTCATTTGTGAAGATAATTTTACAACCAACAATAATAATAATGATAATAAACCCAAGAATGATAAAAAAATGGATAAATCTACAATTAAGTTTACATCATCATCATCTTCGTCTTCTTCTTCTTCCTCAACCTCCAACACCAATCAAACCTCTACTTATTCATCATCCAATGTACCAAAATCAACAACCTCTACAATACTACCAACAACCTCGACATCTTTAATTGTTGCAAAAACTGTTGCTAAATGTTCATCAACATCAGCACCAAGCAATTCCAAAACATTGGAAGCCTTATTATCTCCTCCTGTGATCATGAATGATGATTCGAATGCAACCGATGAAATTGAATCATCATTTACTTTTGGTTTCTTTGATGATGTTACATCATCGTCATCACCATTAACAACAATAACAAAAACAGTTAACTGTCAATTAATTACTCGAGTTGGAATCCGTCGACTTAAGGTGATTAGTTTTCTTTTTCCGACTCATTTGGAAATATCAACTAATTGTCTTCTTTTATCTCTTTTTCCAATAATAGAGCCATTTGTCTGATCCAATTGTTAAATTGATCACAAACTTTCATCAAGTCTTAACCATTATTTCTTGGAGTTTAAGATCTAAATGATTTAAATTATCATAAATATTATTTACAATGAATGAACAACATTTGGAGATGATCCAGTTTTACCAGCATTTGATATTTTCCCAATTCATCAGCAATTTGAGATAAATTCAAAGGTCCCAATTCAATATCAGTCGATTGTGATGAGAATGATGAAGATCCTGATGAGCTTGATGACACAGAGGAAGATATTGATGCTCTCGATGACCAGAATATATTACAATCCATTGTACGATGTTTCGTCGTAATAATAAATAAAAAATTTAAATTAACAAGGCTCGTTAAACAAGCTGAGATTAAATAACAATCAGTCTGATTGTCAATCAGGAAGAAACAAGAAAACGAAATGATTACCGATCAGGTGGTAGAAAAAAGTAAATAAAAGAAAAGCGGGAAATTCAAAATCTTTTTTCTCTCAACCAGAAATTCGCAGAAAACTAACAATGTTAATAAAATTGAAATTTATTCTATCATGAAAGAATTGATTTGATTGTTCATAATCTAATTAAGATCTCGGTGGTAAAAATGATCGATAAATGGCAATCTTTATTCTTTATTTTTTTAGAAAAAAAGCAGAGAGAAAATTATCAAGAAATTATGACAGGAAATGGAATGCGAGGTGAAGAAAAACTGAGTGAAAGATCAAAATTAGATTAACCAAATACAATTTTGATCAACAAGAGAATTTGTAATGTCCATGAAGTCCATTTCTTGTAATTTCGAGCAAAAGTGTCGTGATGATAATGTTCATCAAAAGTGAAAATGAATCTGCACATTGCAAGAGATCAGAATAGTCGGTGGTTCCTCTCGAACTATCGATCGGCTGCAAAAAGACCAATCTCGGTGATCGATAAACTCTTGTGACTCGATTATTTCTATGTATCACTGATGTTTCTCTTCCCAAAGTATCTCGAAGTCTTAACCTTTGGAAAGTGTTTCGCTTGCTAAGAGTCAACTCGTTCCATGAAATGAGAACCAAATGATTTTCTGAAATAAATGCTTCAGATTTTGTTAGAAACGAAAGGTTAGTAAGATTGTGATTAACATAATCAATAGTTTGTTGCCTTCCATTAAATTGTAATGCAATCGAACGAGTCGATACTTTGGAATTTTCATACGATTCAATGTTATCATCTAAAGTTGTGACTGCAGAACCCGAAACTTGATCATCAACTCCAAAGTGAAGTCGATAATGATTTCTCAAATCGTTTAATTTCCAATGCTCATCAGGTAATCCAATTTTCGATAAATTTTCAGGATAAAGTGCAGCCAATACCATCTTACAACGCCTGAGATTTTCATTAAGAACTGATCCAGTTAAAATCTCCCAAGAGGATATTTCAGTGGAAACCTGATCCGTAGGTGCCAAATCAGCATATTCGAAATCATAACGGGGACAATGGTCACTTCGACAGTACCTATTTTTAAGGATTTTATTTATTGACCGTTTATGAGTTTTGATATTCACATCCAACCATTTGTCATCTTCCCCTTTTCTCAACCTAGTATTCAGCTCGAAATTATCAGCAAATGAATATGAAAGAATAATCATTAAACAAAGAGTAGCGTTGACTATAAGAGCACAAATCAAATTTTTATCCATTTTCGATTCACAATTTGAAATTAGAAAATTGTCACAGTAAAGTAAAAGTCCAACTTGTTTGAATGGTCACAAACAACTGACCATCGCCTATTCTCAAGTATATTAACTCTCTTTCCTTTTCCGTTTCTAAAGCAATTATGTTCTTTTCTTCTTCTTCTTTCCTGATAATTGCTATAAAAACTGACCACTAATGTGAGTCGAAGTTTATTCTTGGGGCTAATCCCATTTATTAGCTTGAAAGAGCATTTCATTGATTTTTGTCATGTTAATCTCGAATGAACTTTTTTTCCAACTTATCGCAATATATATGCCAAATATTCAATGATTTAATTCAAGTGATTAGTAAAACAGTAATCATCCAGCAACTAAAAACCATAATTATTTGATTTCTCTCAATTTACTAAAATAAATCACAATCAATCTAATTCCCAAATTATCCAAACATCAGCAACTTTCAAAAATCAGTAAATCAAATGAAACACTTAAAACTAAACTTAAATCATTTAATCATCACTAGCAGTGATTCACGACAATTTAATACAATTAAACATCAATCAAAAAGTCCAAAGAAACTAAGGGATAAGCAAACTGATCATTTCCCTTTCCAATCACTTCAACCATTTAAATTTAAAAACAATCATCAATTTATATCAACTATCCCCAATGCTAATCAAATTAATTTTATCTCTGTTTCTCAAAAATCTTCCGAATTTTAAATTGGACGAAAAATTGAAATTCGAAGACAAAAACGAACATGATAAATTTATTGTCCAGTGCAATGAGTTAACATTAAAGCTACAGGGTATGTGCTGTAGCTCCTCTGTAAAAGTTGTTCAACAACTTCAGGAAAATTACAATAGATTTGACAAATTATTAGGTAAAACAAAAATTTACAAATTATAATAATTGACTGGTGGTTAGTTTGATTGTCCAAGGTCCAATTTGATGATTGTAAATAAGTACCAATTAAGTGAGATGAGGTCAAATAAGTTTAACTCATTAGGTATGATACAAAAAGGATATTAGAATTTCAATCTTTGAAATGATTATCTTGATTATAAATGTGGTAATTTATAAATTTGTTTAATAATTGTATTTGTATTATTGTATTTAAGTAAATGTCAATACCTATTTAATGGTTAATAGAAATAAGTTGTATCAAATTACCAACAAAACTTACCAAGAAAACAATGGTTGCAGTTATTACGACGCAATAATAGCTCAGTTTTAAAGTAACAAAAACAACTGTAACTGTTGTACCATCATAATCTCGGTATCAACTTGATCCGTGTGATGAAATGAACAATAATTACACAAAATTTTATTTTAAATTCACAGGTAAAGTTAATTAAATTAAAGTTTATCAGGAGCGATAAAAAGATAGATAAATAATTCTGGTTCTCGATTGTGCTGCCATCTAGCGAATTTGTTGTTTCCTCCTAAGCCTCATTTCTGAGTTCAGAATCAATGAAGGACAAGTAGTGGTGATGATAATTGTAATTGTTACTTTTTGATTTAATTACTGATTGGAAACGAAAAATTATTCTCCATTTATATTAATTATCCAGGGTGTGTTTTCTCATCTAATCTCCTGTTCACAATCTCATCATCGTCTTTCTTGTTTCAATCCAATCAATTTCTCTGTGAATTCTCATCTTTCCTTTTTTCTCATTTTCTTTTTTCTCTTTTCTCTTTCTCTCTCTTTATTCATCACTTTTTCTCTCTTCCTCCTCTTTTTGCCTTCTCTCTTTTTTCATTTTCCTTTTTTTTCCTCTTTCTTTTCTTCTTCACCCTGTGTGTTTAATTTTCTCTCGGTGTCTTTCTCTTGTTTTTTTTTTGTTTTTTTTGTTCTTTTTTCTCTTTCTCACTCAACTGTGTTCATTCTCCATCTTTATTTATCTGTATCTATTTTCATCTTCTCCTTCTACCTCTTTTTCTCTCCCATTAGCTTCATTTTCTCTCTCTGATATATTTGTCTCTCTTTTTTCTCCTTTATCCTTTCTCTTCTTCTTTCTCTTCTTCCTTTCAATCTCTTTATCTGATTCTCACTTTTTCTGTCTGCCTTTTTCTCTTGTTTCTTCCCTATCTCTCTTTCTCTCACCCATATATATCTCTCTCTCTTTTTCTCTCATATGGGTTCTCTAACTAATTTTCCCATTGACCAAGTTGAATCCATTGGTGTGGACATCGAGGTCAATAATTTAAGTGATGAACACTTTCGAGATGTTATGGAAGAACTTACCAACCATCAAATTCCGGAGAGAGATAAATGTCCTCTGGTTCGTCGTTTAAATGCCTCCATTAGTGGTTACTTTAAGAGTACCGGTGATGTTGGTTTCAGTAAAATGGGTCCTGTTAAAATGAACACCAATAACAATAATAATAACAATTCTACTATTAATTCAAAACCTGGTAGCAGCTCATTAGCTGGTGATTTATCTGGTTCCAGTGGCAATAATAATAATAATAATAATCGTATTCATAGTAATAGTAGTAATCATGGTGTAGATAATGGTAATTCAATTGAATTAATTGAATACCGTCGGACATTTGAATATAAAAACTATCATTCACCAAAGAGTTGTTCCAATCCAAGTGATATTAAAATTAAATCAAGTGAAAGAACCAAAGGTTCTATTGGTGTAAATTCTTCTTCTACAACCAGTGCCACCATTCATCCATCTTCTTCATTAACCTCATCTTCAACCTCATCATCATCATCACCATCATCAGCCAATAATAATTCAACAACAATCTCAAATTCATCTTCATCCAATGTCACCTTAAACGAATCAAATGTAGACTCATTTGTTAACTTTGATTCCCTCAAACGCCCACCCAATGAACTAAATGAACCTTCCAACGAGCCAACGGAAGGTATTAATTTAATTGAAAGCCCAACAACACCATCATCAACACTTAACACTACCCTGAACAGCAACAGTAATTTAAGTAACAATATTACTACCAACAATCACCAAACCATCAACACAATTATAAACAATAACACAATTACCAATGATAACCTGAATAATAATAACAGTAACAAAGACGTCAATAAAGACAGCAAAGATAATAGTAACAATAATAACAATAATAATAATAATCAAACCACCAACGATACAAATAATAATGCTAAGGGTAATCGTAATGGAAAAGAAAAGAAAAAGAAAGCAAAAGATAAAAATCTTTACAAAACTGTTTACACTGCTCAAGATATCGATGGTCACATTGGCGATAAATCAATCGACGATCTTGTCTATTATGTTACTGGTAATAAAGGGGAAATCGTTGCTACTTCAAATGCTCCTTCATCTGGTATAACTGTTAACTCAACCAGTCCCAATATCAATACTGGTAATTTAACTTGTAATAATAATAATAATAATAATAATCTAATCACAGGTTCAATTGTTACAAATCCTGGTCCTGATGTAGTCTCAGTTGCTACTTCAATTGCTACTCCTGCTAATGGTGTTATCGGTGTTTTTAATAATAATATTGGTGCCAGTGTACAATGTGGCTCATCTTTATGTGATAATAAATTGGCTACCAACTCAAAAAACAATAAAGAAAGTGGTAACTTTGGAGGAAAGGTTAAAAAGAAAGAGAAACCATTATCAACATCTATATCATCATCTGTAGCTGTTTCAGCAACATCATCTTTGTCATCTTCATCATCATCACTAGTTGTAGTAAATAACTCAACCAACATCCAAGGTCGTAATAAGAAAGGATCAAATAACAACAACAATAATGGTCTCTCTGGTCTCGGTAAAAGCATTCCTCGAAGCTCTTCAGCAACAACCTTTGACTCAAAGTTTCCCCCATCATCATCATCATCATCACCAAACGTTGCTCAATCGGAAGTAAATTCATCATCAATGGATGCATCCCTTACTAGTCCTTCTCTTTCTAAGTCTCATTCAATTGAATCATCATCATCATCATCATTAACTGTAAACTCAATGCAACAACAACAACAACAACCTGTGACCAAATTAATTTCTGACTCTGGTATCACAACTAAATCAAAAGTCAAAGATTTCTATCCAACCAATTCTAATGTTAATAAGAAAATTTTGAATACTAATAATAATGTTGTCATTAATTCTGATGGTTTGAGAAACAAAAAACGTGATACCTCTGCCAGTAGTACCCATGTTGCTACCACTGCCAATCAGGATGTTGATGCTAATAATTTTAAGGAGCTTAGGTATACAGCCTCAGATCCGGAGACGGTGGACCAAGAGACAAGCTTCCAACCAGTTAAATCGAAACACCTTAAACGACGTAAAGGTACTTCAAGGAATAAACCTGTCGGTGGTGGTGGTGTTGTTGTTGGAGATCTTGGTATGCAATCACCTTCAACCCAATCATCAAATACTATTTTTACTACATCCAATTCATCTTCATCAACCTCAACCATACCCTCTGTTACATCGTCAACCTGTAATTCAGTTAACATTTCAATGACTGCTCGTGGATATGAAAGTGAAAGGGAATATTGTGCCGATGAATATCGTCGACGTAAAGAATATCTAAATCATCGTAAACTTGCATCAAGTATGCCCCATTCAGAGCAAAATTCAGCTGATAACTCGGACATGGAATCATCCTGTTCATATCCTGTTTCAGGACGGATGCCTATCTTACCAACCCCTCCCGGGCCTCCAGCATCCTCCAACAATTCAATCTCATCAACACCTAAAGTCTCCTACGCTGATATTGCTAAAATGGGTTCAGTTATTGCTGTTACACCTCCGGTTGTTATTACAGGTAATTCTGCTGGTAGTGTGGCCAACAAAGGTCCTTCACCAACAAACATTACCTTAAATAGCGTTAACAACAACAACAACAACAATAATAATAATAGTGTTAAAGATGCTAACAACAATATCAGTACCGGTAGTATTGACAATAGTCCTAAAAATGCTTCCACCGGCGATTCTGGTTTATCATTACAAACCGTTTCATCACCATCCACATCATGTAGCCCTTATCCCAGCTCCAGTCCTAATTGCATCTCACCTTCTGGATTTTCACTCTCTTCATCATCAAATATTACTTTCCCCGAGGGATCGAAAGGATCAAAAAATAATAATAATAATAATAATAGTACTACTACTAATAATCAAATTAACAAATTATCATCATCTTCATTATCATCATCTGAATCAATAATTGATGCAACTACTACATCTAAAGATAACCCTCCAACGATCAAAAGTGAAATCAATTTTGACCAAGAAATTTCATCAAAAAATGGTAAAAATATTGGTACTTTTACCAATAATAGTAACCAAATAAACTCTGCTGCCGTTGCCATTCGTCCTAAAGATTTTGATACACCCAAAGAGACCAAAATGGAAAATCAAAAAGTCATTTGTGAAGATAATTTTACAACCAACAATAATAATAATGATAATAAACCCAAGAATGATAAAAAAATGGATAAATCTACAATTAAGTTTACATCATCATCATCATCTTCGTCTTCTTCTTCTTCTTCCTCAACCTCCAACACCAATCAAACCTCTACTTGTTCATCATCCAATGTACCAAAATCAACAACCTCTACAATACTACCAACAACCTCGACATCTTTAATTGTTGCAAAAACTGTTGCTAAATGTTCATCAACATCAGCACCAAGCAATTCCAAAACATTGGAAGCCTTATTATCTCCTCCTGCTGAAAAAACTCCCACTTTTGATATGAAAAATAGTAACAAACTTATAGACACAAGAGTTGCCTCTATTAAAAGTGATACTTCATCTCGAGCATCAATGCTCAAAAAGTCTAATAGTATTCCCGGAGCTGGTGTTAAAAATAATTCTAATTGTTACCGGGTTAATCTAAATGAATCAACAAACCGTTCAACTAAATCACCAAGCAGTTTACCTCCTGTGATCATGAATGATGATTCGGATGCAACCGATGAAATTGAATCATCATTTACTTTTGGTTTCTTTGATGATGTTACATCATCATCATCACCATTAACAACAACAACAACAACAAAACAACAATATCATTAAAAAATTCATCATTAAATTACAACAACAACAACACAATTAAACCAATGTCTTCTTCTGCCTCAACAAAAAATACAACCACCGCTCCAATATCATCAACACCCACTTCTACTTCTGGCTCTGTTTCATTGATAAAATCTTCTAGTATGATGATGACCAATAGATCTTTAAATTCATCATCTAAAACTATCACAGTCAAAAATAATTACGATAATCTTAAAAATGGTAACAATGCTAATTCATCATCATCTGTCTCACGTGTTAAATCAACTAAAAATGCTTCCACAACTAATTTAACTCATTTATCAGCAAATTCATCATCCTCCTCTTCTTCAACCATTAGTGCAACACCAACAACAACAGCTACAACAATCAATTTAGCAAATAAAACTGGCACAGATTCACCTAAGTCATCGGAAGCTATTAATCAATTGCCTCAGGGCAAAAAGGTTTGCAGACAATTTGATTCCCACATTAGAAATGCACACACACACACAAAAAAAATCAATTTTTTTTCTCTTGATTGGATTTAATAAATTAAAATTCTAATTCTCTTCTTTCATTATATTTTGTATCTACAGAATTCAGGTAAAGACTCTAAATCAATTTCTAGTAATGGTAACACTAGTCTTGAGAAGTTCATTGCAATCAAATTAGCTGAACCTCCGACAAACATGGATGCTGATATTAACACTTTCAATTACAATCAAATTATCAATTTCATCAAAACCGGTATGTTGTCTAACTAATATACATGTACATGTATTTGAATTTAAACATTGATTGTTTATCTTTTTTTACAAACAAAATCATGATAATATTTACATTTTGTCATCGTAATTAATAATAATCGTTTTTTTAAATCTTTTTTTCTGTTTATCTTTTCTATTAGCATGGGAAAGTGTTATGTGCCAATATCATCATTCACCAGATAAAAACAATTCTCACAGCTCATCATCATCCTCATCATCATCCAATACTGGAGCTAATTTATTTCGTGAGAGCACAATTTACTACAAGGAACTAATCTCTCCATGAGATCAATGAGTGTGTGTTGCCCTTCTATTTTCTTCTTAATTGTAGGCCTTGAAGTTCAAGAGATTCTCTCTCTCTCTCTCTCTCTCTCTCTCTCTCTCTCTCTCTCTCTCTCTCTCTCTCTATTTTCTCTCTCTATCTCTGTCTCTTTCCGATAATGATAATACTTGACTTGATTGTTGTTGGTTTTTTTTTCTCGTTCAAAAAAATGAAAGAAACAATTTATTTACTTTGAATTTTCAATTCACTTTTGATTGTTATGATTAACTTTTAATTGGATCTTTGATGATTCCGTAGATTTTATTAATCACGGTTTAAAATCAATTGTTTCCTATTTTGTTGATTATTCATTAAAAATTGTTTCACTTTAATAAACATTAATCATGGTGTCTCTTTAATACTACCTGTTGATTATTCAGTAAGTTTGAAATTAACTAATTTTCAATTTTTAATTGTAAATCATCAAAATCTCACATTTTTTATTGGTTTTTAATCACAGAGTTACAAACATTTACCGTTCGATAATTTCTCTTAACAGGTGGCGCTCATCACCTTTTCTTCCTGTCGGTTGCTAAGCAACATTTTATTCTGATCACATGTTGGTCAATATTCAAAAAAATTTTTTCTCTTTTTTAACAATTTAGTTGATTGTTTTTAATTTTTTCTCGACGTGTTGTGTTTTTTTGTTGATCTTGTTGACATAATGCCGAAAGCGAAAACTAGTCAAATTATCGAGACACCTGTTGATTTGGTTAGAAAACGATTCCCGTGTCGAGATGAGGTCATCAGTGGATTGGAACGTCTTTTGGTGACAATTAAATGGCCTTTTATATTAATTGATGGACCACATTCTACTGGTAAAACTTGTATTACTCGAGCATTATTGGAAGCATTGGGCTTATCGTTTTCCTGGAACAATTGCCTAGAAATTGGAAGCTTGAAAAGTCTTCAAAGTAAAATTATGTACGACATTGACTTTACTGTCAATCCAAATTTAGCCAGTTCGGAAAGAGTTAAATCTCGTGTAACATCAAACGAAACCTTTATCATTGGATTTACCGATCTCTTGGAAAATTTAACCGCTAAAAGCTCCAAAATTAAAGTTCTCCGTACACCCAAGAAGACACCTACTAAAAGTGCCAGTAAACGGAGTAAATCAGTTGATGCAAATGCAACATATTCATTTGAACCTAAATCTTACCGTTACTTTGTTGTTCTCGACAATTATGATAAATTGGTTGATTCAAGTATCAATATCCTGCCCGCTCTCAATCAAGTCCATGAAGCGATGAGAAACAAAGTTCAACTTATCACAATAATGATCACAACTCTTTACGCTGATCGATTCTTATATAATTTCTTTGGAGTTCCAAAACCAATTGTATTTAATTTTCCAAGTTTTGATCTTAAATCTTTACCTCAAGTATTATCTAGAGTAGTTTGTGAAGATCGCGATGAAAAGTATTACAGGTAAGTCTAAACGGTACCTGATTCTTTTGATGGATTATAATACACAAACTAAATTGTTTCTTCTTTTTATTCCTCAGGTTCAGTGAGATTGTCTGTTCAACACTTTCCGCATCAATTGGTGATCTTAACAAACTGTCAACCATTTGCAAGAATTCATTCATGGATCATATTGACGAAATTACTTCTAGAGGTCTAAATGAAGATGAAAGTAATAAGCAACTGCGAAAATTTTTCCTGGAGAAAGTTGAATCATATGTTAAATCAGCAATCTCTCATGGTGGATCTTCATCATCCGTAATTAACTCATTAACCATGAAAGAATTACCTAAATCAACTAAATACCTGTTAATTGCTGCTTTCCTTGCCTCTTATAATTCCAAATCAACGGATAGAAAATTTTTCGTCGTCGCTTCGGATAAGCGTAAAGTTTCCCGTTCAATGTCACGGAAAGAGCAAACAGCAATTGCACCTAAATTATTTCCACTGGAACGACTACTTCACATTTACGAATCACTCATCTATCTTAATGAAGTAGGCAATCATTGTCTTCGAGAAACTCTACTAAATCAACCAATTAACCAACTATTATCCCAAATAGAGACGCTGGTCAACCTTAAGCTCCTGATGAAGGTCAATTCGGTGACCATTTCACCTTTATCAAGTTTGATCAAATACCAAATATCAGATTTTGTAACTTATGAATTCATTGAATCCCTTGCCAAATCTATCACACTCGTACTAGCGGGACACATGAGCTGTTGACAAAAAGGATGAGGATTATTATTAATTAATTACACTGACGCCTTGATGGTTTAACAAGTTAAACAAAAACAAATGACAAATGGTAATCAAGAGAAGAGAAAAAAATTGTTTCTCTCTTCATAAATTCATAATTACTTGAGATCTCCTGAAGATGATACTGATTACCAAGCCAATCATGAGACAAAAGATTTTAAGTGATGTTTATTATTAATTGTTGGAAATGATAATCATGATGACGAGATAATCTTCTAATGACACGGATAAAGAATCAAAGGACGAAAAGTATCTTCGACAATGCTTAATATAGCCCAACCTTTATATCTCTCTCTCATTTTTTACCTTCAGAAACAAAAACTAAGAGTATTTGTTTACATACCATGAATGTTACATTCTAGTGTCTACATCATCATTACCACCATCACCATCATCTTCATCCTGATAGGATTAAGAAGATATTTTTTATTTTTTATTTATATAAATCATTTCTTACCATCAGTCTTTATATTTCTATTCATCTCTCTCTCTCTCTCTTTTCTTGCTTTCTTCCTCTTCCCTAATCACATCTCTTTCACAATATTATAAACTTGTTCATCATCTTTTTATCATCACTACCATCATAATCATCGTCATCTGAAATTTACTAGAAACTTAATTCATTTGCCAAAGATTAGACAATGAATTAGAAAGCTGAAAATTTGCTCATCACCACACGAAAAGGGAAAAAAAAGCAAAGCCCCAAGAATAGAGGAATTGGAAATAGAAAGAGAGACAAACTCGAAAGGAAGGAAGGAAGATCTCTCTCTCTCTCTCTCTCTCTCTCTCTCGCCCAAGGAAAAAAAGAAACTAAAACGGAAAAGAGAAATGCCAAAGAAAGAGAAAAGAAAGACGAAGATATTATTAGAAATTCGGTATTTTGATCATTTTTAAGTTTCTTCTTCTCTTACTTTTCTCTCATCTCTCATGGAAACGAAGCCTCGTACATCGCATGTTCAACTTTATGGATTTCAAGAGAAAATGAAAAGAAAGAAAGACTCAAGAGACAAATTCGAAAGAACCTTATTTTCCCTCTCCTTTTTCTCTTACTTGTTCCCTGTCTACATATTCCCCCCTAACCTATGGTTCTATTACCCAGTTCGAAATCTATCACTTATCTCCTACTGTCTTATTGTACCAAAATGTACAGTCTCAGTTTATCTTATATATTATTCATTATTAATAGTCCAAAGCGCTTGCGTTTATCGATTTGTGATTTACTATCATTCACTACTTTTACTTTTATCCACGAAAAACACCAAAGTCATTGAGTCGACATTGTAATTCTACATTTACCTTGTTCGAATTTTGATTTGTTGTTATTTTCTCTCTCTTCTTCACTCTCACCATCTTCATCTTCATCGTGATCACAATTTTCTAATCATCACCGAGAAAAACAATTACACCCAAATGGTAATGTCTTGATTTCATTTCTAATTTACAGTTATATTAATTGATGTAAATACCTGAGAAATGTTTTCATCATTAATCATTACAATGTTGTTATAATTAAATTGTTATTACCATAGTCGATTAAATAACTGTTCTCAACACAGAGACAAGACGAACAATTAACTTTCAAATTCTAATTGTTGTTTGTTCACCAAGAAAGTGAGAGAAGAAAAATTCGAACTCAATATTTACCTGTGATTTTGTTTTTCTACTCTCTGTTTTGGTGGATTTCCAATTGTGTGTAATTTCAGTGTTCTCATCTTGTGTCATTATCGACAATTTAATTTATACCCACTAATTAACGAGCATCTAATTGTCATCACCAGAGGAAAGATAAATTCAAAACAATCTCCATAGACTTTACCTTCATTTTTGGGTTTTCTATGCATTTTCACCGGTAACCTCCCTCTTCCTCTTCAATTTTGTTTACCTTATATTTCCCACCCCACTGCCTCTCTCTCTCTCTATTTTCCACCTTCTATCTTATGAAACATATTGGTAAGTACTGTTGATCTTATTTCGAGTTAATCAAACAATTAACTTTAATTTTCTTCAATTTATATTAACCTTGTCTCGTTTTTATTTACATGTTTATCTTTGGTTAACTATTTGGATCTACTGGAAATTTTTTCTTCGCGTTAATTGCGGAAAATTAAAGCTGATAATTAACTGTTACCTCCGGTTCATTTGTCTTTCATCAAAATCTAATCAACAACAATGATGACCAATCAAGTCAACAATCAAATCATTGATAATCATTTTTAAATCAACAACAACGCGATTAAACTACAACTTCATCAACTCTCTCCCATTGACAACAATTAACTTTCACATCTCACAAGTAATAACAATTTATTGGAAACAATCATCATCCTCATCATTGAACACACAATTAGTTAACTAATTGATTATCTTGCAGTTTTAATTGCTACAAAAAAAAGTCAACAACAACACATTCACTTTGGATCCTTAATCAACACACAATCAAACTCAAACAATTTACTAATCCAAGTTAACATTTGTTCAACATTACAAAAGACTTTCATTTAAAATTAGTAATTAATTAATCAACTATCCGAATTATGTTAATATATAAATATAATTATTTACAAACAATTAATTAATAGCAGTTTAATTACCTCAGAAAAAGCCAAAAATTAAATCAATCATTTATTTTCATTGGTAAATAACAAGAGTACCAAGAGTTAGTCAACAGCAACAATTAGCATAATCAAATTAAAAGCTTATAATTAATATAAATATAAATATATATTAGTATCAATCAAACAACAACAATTAAACAATTGTGATTTTGTGATTAACTGTTGATTAATTACAAAAACTCCCAACAACATCAAATACAAATAATAGTAATAATAATAAACTCGAAGCGAGTTAAATAATAATTAAACAAAATAATTTAGTAACAAATAGATAAAAATTAATTAATTGTTTGCAAAGAATTAAACAAAATTTATATATTGTCAAAGGTTAATCAACTTTTTAATCAACAAGTTGTGTCAATTGTTTGTGTGCTTGTGTGTTAATTGTGTTTACTGTTTAGACAATTGTTTGGGTTTCTTTTTTTTTCCTGTTAATTGTTAATCAAGTGACATCTTAATTGTAAACACAAACATCGAGAATAATAAAGAGAGAGAGAGAGAGAGGAAAAGGAAAAGGATCTTCCGTTAGATTGATTAATTGTTGTTGGAAAATATTAGAACTTTTTTTTCTTCGAGTGTTCGAAACTAATCACTGGACATAACCTGGCGAAGCGACCGACGTTCATCGAAATGGATGATCTTCGACTTTCGGAGACCGCTTATCTAAATGTACCAGAGCGGGATAAAAGTCCATCCCCGGCGGATTCCGTTGCATCCTCGATCAGTGATATATCCACTTTACCGATAACCGGAAGGAGAAGAGATCATGGGGTAAGAATTTTAATTTCTAATCGAAAATGATAACAATCAATTAGATGAAAATACCATAAATTTACAGAATCGCATGTTAATCATACAATTAAGTTAACGAAATCGTAACCATTATCGATCAACTGATTTCATTTCAATTTCCATGACAATCTTCATATATTATCAATTGTAATCATCAACTTGATGCTCATGTCCAATGAATAATATATGTATAAATCATATTGCTCATTTAACTATCATTAAGTTATATTGTTAATTGATTGATTAGATTAAATTGAAATTAATTCACTTTGTTGGTGGGTTAATTTGTCTCATCTGATTTCTATCAATGGTCAATTTCATGGTGATCATATTGATTGGAAAACAATTTTCTTCGATCATGATTCTGTTAAACATCATTATCATTATTTTTTTTTCTTCCATCTTTCGATTATTATTATTATTATATGAATTTTCATTAGGACGCAGGTTCGATTGACCTTTATTTCCATGGGTGGAAAAAGATGAATGCAATTCTTATAATAGTCTTGCATCATTTTCCATGCTCATTTTCCCCCTGAAGAGTAAAACAAGAATAAGAAAAACTATCGACTGAACTTTAGAAATGAAATCGAACTGAAAACATGTTCAATTGTTCAATTATTCAATGTTCGCAATATTTTCTAAATTGATTCAATAGTTTCTCTCTTGATTACAATTAGTTTTCTTACATCACAACAATTAATCTGTTTGGATTTTCCGATTTCTAAAATCGCCCCAGTTAATTGTTGATTCCTTTCATTTTCTTATACCTTTGAGGTATGTGAACAGTTTTAACTGTGAGTTTAATTGCTATTACAATTACGTATTTACCTTGAGCATGATGATCAACAGACACCATGGTAAGCTCAATATACTCATTAACTTGAAATGTAAAAGGTATTTGATTGACATGATAAATTCAATAGGTAACATTAGTTTTCTTGTTCATTGTTTTTCCGGGTAACCTAAAACCCGAGAAACTTTTTCTGTTTTAACCAATTGATTTTCTCGTAACGTTTTTCCTGTTGATTTTTTTCTCTTCGTTTCTTGTTGATTAACAATTAGAACCACAATTTAACCAGATGATTTATTTGCTCATCAATGCGAGGAAAGAGTTTGATTAGCATCATTAAATAGATGATGATAAACAACAACAGGAGAGAGAAAATCATCAAATTGTAACATTATTCAGAGTGAGAGAGAGAGAAAAAAAAAGAATCAACGTGTATTCTTTTCTTTTTTTTTGTTTGTTCCATCTTCTCAATGGTAATAATATTATTCCAGGTGAAAATGGTGAGAGAGGGAGAGAGCAGAAAATGAGGGTGGGTGGGATGAGGTGATTATGAAAAGATGAGAAAAAGAAAGAGAAAGTTATTGAAGATGAACGTAGGATGAATTTTGATTGACTTCGAATGTTAATTTTCAAAAGGTAAGTTGAAGGTAATCATCATGCAAGAAGAGGGAGAGAGAAAGAGAAAGAGTAAGTGAGTGAGAGAATGAGTGAGTGAGGGATAGACTGAGACTCTATCATCATCATGAGTATACAACCCACAGGGTTACAAAGATAAATAAGACAAGAAATAAATAAGAGAAAAACACTCTCTTGGAAATCTCCCCACCTCCTTGTTCATATGATTATCCACCGACAAGGAAAACCAATCAATCTTTTTTTAATCATAATTTTTCACCTTCACAATCAATCTCAGTCTATTAGTTAATCAGTAAACTATTTCTCTCTTGTTACAACTTTAATTGTTTCTTATATAATCAGTAAACTGACCAGTTTTAATTGCAAGGCTACATAATTAAAACAATCACCGGGGCGGTGATGATTGTGTGCAAGAGAGAGAGAGAGAGAGAGAGAGAGAGAGAGAGAGAGAGAGAGAGAGAGAGGAGATGAGAAAGTACAAGGCATTTCACTAAGTTTCTAAAAGTTTTCGAATAACTTTTTTGGTTTTGGATGTTCAGACCTCAGATTCGAGTTATGGGAGTTTGGTTGATGCTAAATTGTCATATTAAAATATCGAGGTTATTCCGGTCATTCGTCTCAATTGTCTTTTGAATTTGCATCGATTTTGACCATTAAATGACCTTGAAACTATATCCTTTAAGAATGACCGGAATGACCTTGATATGAAAATTGAGTAGAGAAAAGAAAAATTTTCTTAATGAAAACACTTCCATTAATTTCTGATGCTAATCAGTTGTTAACTAACCAGGAAAGGAAGATAAGAGAGAGAGAGAGAAAAGTTTCCTCTGTATTTTCATCCTGTTGATCATCACGATCACCGGTAACATACTCACAGTCTCATTCTGTTTAAATAGTTAATTGTTGTTCATTAAAATTGATTCAATAGAATTGACTGTAATCACGTTAACGGCTAATGCGGCTTAATTGCTAATTGCATGATATTTGATTAATTGTATCCATTGGAATAATAAACAAAGTAACATACGAATAATTCAGAGGATAATTTAGAGAGAGAGAGAGACGATTAATATAAAGGAAATGACAGAAAATTGTTTCTATCAAATCTTATATTCACTTTGACTATTAGGGATTTTTTTCTACACTGTCATTGTTGGTGTTATTTTAATCATCAACAAAATGATTTAGTTAATTAAAAGTAATTCAATGTGATCATGAAGTTGAAGAGGGAGAGGGAGAGAGTGGGAGTGGGAGACGGAGACGGAGAGAATGATGATAATTGACGAGCGAAATAAAGACAGAGAATCAGAAAGAGAATTGAGGGAGGGAGAAAAAGTGAGCAAGGCTACTACATATTCCCACTCTCCCTTATCTTCTCACTAATAGTATCTCTCACTCACTCTCTCTCTCTCCCGTTCTCGCTCTTTCGCTCTCTCTTCCTCTTTCATCTCCTATCGTTAGTTGAAAAAACTTGATTTCCAGAATTTTAGTTTTCTAAATCCAGTGTTTGTTTTTTACTCATTTTTCATCGTTCGCTGTTTTAATTGTGATATAACTTTTTTTTTGACTTTGAGAATTGTGCCTTCTATCAATTGAATCATGTCATCGGTAAGTTAATTGTGTTTCCATCAATATTTCATCAGGAAATCATTTGATTATTAATAGATTGGTGATGATGATGATCAACAAGTTGCAACTTTATTCACATATTGAAAAAGAGAAAACAATCAACGTGTATTATTTTTATTTTCAATTCGTTTTTTTGTTCACAATGATATTATTATTCCAGGTGAAAAGGAACTGAGAGAGAATGAGAGAGGAAGAGATGAGAAAATGAGGGTGCATGGAATAAAGTGAAAAAGATGAGAATGAAAGAGACTGGAAGAGAATGAAAGAGAAAGAAAGAGAAAGTTATCGATGATAAACTTCAAAAAGGTAAGTTGAAGGTGATAATCATGCAAGAAGATGAGCGAGTGAGAGAGAATGAGAGAGAGAATGAGAGAGAACAACTTAGACACCATCATCAACCCACAGGGTTACCAAGATAAGAAAATGAGATTAGATGAGAAAAAAACACTCTCTTGAAAATCTTCATAAGGAAAAATCTTCAATTTGTTATTACCAATAACTCGAGAATTAGAGATGATTGTCGCCAACAGGTGGCACTCGCTCTCATTTTCTTTTTCTGGTCAAACCCTTTGACTGCGAATTTAAGTCAATGATTCACTTTCATCATCGGCATTTCTTTTAATCAATTTTAATTGTTCACCTTTTTCTCTCCTTTTGTTAATTTTTTTTTCAATTCTCTTTGTCCTCATTCAACTCTCTCTCTCTCTCTCTCTTTGTCTTTTCATCTTTTCCCCATTACAACGTGTTGATTGTTTTTCGTATATTTTAATTGTTAAATTTTTCATTCTTTTTTATTTTATTCTTTTCTTTTTTTTTGTCATCATCATGTTTTTTCCCACCTGTTTCTCATGTCCGAAGGGTGTAACAAGTCGTCTTATGTTTGCAATAGCCGCCGGTGCCATTGGATCATCGTTTCAACATGGTTATAACACTGGTGTCACCAATATTCCTCAAAAGAGAATCGAATCTTGGATTAATTCAACTTATGTTGGCCGTTTCTCTGAACATCCATCTTTACAAACCATTTCTTTAATCTTCTCTTTTCTTTCATCCATCTATTGTGTTGGAGGAATGGTCGGTGCCCTGTCAACTGCTTATTTTGCTACAAAATTTGGACGAAAAGGAGGTCTACTTGTCAATAATATATTTCTTGTTATTGGAATTATTTTAAACTGTCTTGCTAAGCCCTTCGGCTATTATGAGCTAATGATTGTTGGCCGTTTCTTTGTTGGCATTAACTCTGGTATGGCTGCAGGTTTAGCACCAATGTATTTAACTGAAATATCACCAACCAATTTGAGAGGAGCTGTTGGTACAATGTATCAATTGATTCTTGTAATTTCCATTCTGGTGGCTAATGTTCTTGGATTTGAAAGTATCATGGGATCGGAAACTCTGTGGCCCTACCTGTTCGCTATTCCGTTGATTCCAATGATCTTTATGTTTGTCACACTTCCACTTTGTCCAGAATCACCCAAATACGTTTTGATTGTCCAGAAAAGAGAAGGTCTTGCCGCTAGTGGTCTATCATGGCTTCGAGGTACCCTTGAGATTCACGACGAACTTGAAGAGATGAGGCAAGAAGCTGCATCAATCGCACTTGTACCGAAAGTATCTTTCATGGATATGTGGCGAAATCCAATCTACCGTCAACCCATGTTCATATCTATTGTGGTTATGTTAAGTCAACAATTTTCTGGTATCAATGCGGTCATCTTTTATTCAACCAAAATCTTCCAAGATGCTGGTCTCGATGGTATGAAAGCAACTTATGCCACTCTTGGTATGAGTGTTATCAACACCGCAATGACCTTGGTCTCTCTTATTCTTGTCGAGAGAGCCGGAAGAAGAACCCTTCATCTTGGCGGTTTAATTGGTATGCTTTTTACCACAATCATTTTAAGTATCTCCATCTCCAATGGATCCATAGCTTTCTGGAGATTTGTAAGCATTGTCATGGTTCTCGCTTTTGTGATAATGTTTGCCGCTGGACCAGGATCAATCCCATGGTTCTTAGTGGGTGAACTATTTGGTTCATCAGCTCGAGGAATGGCCACTAGTATTGCAGTCTGTGTTAATTGGTCAGCTAACTTTCTAGTCACTGTTGGTTTCTTGCCTTTAAGTGTAAGTATTAAGAAAAAAAAAATCAATCAAATCAAACAAATTGATCGCATCCAAATCTCTTTAACACATTTTCCTATCAAAAAACAACAACAACAACAATCACAACTAAAGTATTCGTAAAAATAATCACAATCAATAGTAACCAAATCAATTACAATTAATTATTAGTATTAATTTCATGTGTTACCCTTGGAAACAGGTCATTTTGTTTATGACGACATTTTGTTTTTCTTCCCAACAAAATCAATTATAATCTAATCAATTTTTTTTTCTTTTTCTTTTCTTTTTCTACTTCTTCTAATCTTACAGAATGTCATGGGACCTTACGTATTCTTGATTTTCACCGTTTTATTAGGAATCTTCTCAGTTTACACTTACTTCAAGGTGCCCGAGACAAAAGGAAAATCAGCTGAAGAGATCGCAGCTCTGTTTCGTCAAAAATCATACCAGTAGTAATAATTAAGCTAAAGGAAAAAAAAATAAACAGCAAACTAATCAAGCAAACAAAAAGCAGCAAAAAGTTTGAGGTGTTTTAAATACAACATTTAACAAGAGAAACAAAAACAACATTAAACATTGTAAATTATCTTATCTTCTAAAAAAAAAGAGTAACATTGGAGAGTCATTTTTTTTGGAATTTTATTGTCTTATTATAAATATAATAGTAATTTTACATTTCAATTGATGATTGATTGATTGATTATTATTCTTAATTGTTGTTACCATCTAAAAAGCAAAGAAACTGAACTAAGCCAAAATAAAAACAAAAAATCGAGATGGTTGACACACTAAACATACAAAAAAAACTCAAACATTTTTAACAATAAGTTAACCCATTTGACCTTAAGAAAGGTCATCAAAATTGCAAGTCGGTGACATTGTCAAGACCTTTGGTTAATTGAAAGGTTGTTAAAACAATTAACAGGTGAGAGCTCTTCCTTAAGCTTAATCTTACCATTCGTTGACCATAGGTCAATCTAATCATTAACCTTATCTTCATATTCAACCTGTTAATTGTAACATCCTTTAATTTGTTGAGAGGAAAACCAATCATAGATGTTGTTGAGAAATTAAGTCAAGTTGATCACAACTAATAAATAAATCACCAAACAATCAGTAGTTGTTGATGAATTGTGAATATTAATTTTCTCCATTAATTATTTAACCATCAATTGACTTTGACCTTTTAAATTGTGATCAAATTAACTTTAAATTCCGTGTAATTAATCAACTCGAGACAAATGTCGTGTTACAGAAATACCGTTATTTTATCGGCAATAATTAGTATAATTACTGTTCTTTTTGTTAAAATATTCACATTTGATGGGTAAGAATCTTAATTGAAACCATTTAAACCACCTGACCACCGATCTTTGCAATTGATTAATTGATTATTTGATTGATTTAAAAGGGATCCAGTTATAGCGGTTGCAACACGATTCATGGGGAAGATGTTTTCTGCAATGGCTGCGATTGTCATCTTGCAAACAATTGGTTACCTGGATATTGATGATCTAATTCCGGAGTTCACCTTATTGACTTATGATCAGTTTATCGACACTTATGTGATCCCGTTGTCCATCACGATGGGATTTTTTAACGGGATCATTTTAGACAAATTAATCTATGGTAATCAAGGTATTTTGCCAAGATCATCGACAGAGGATAAATGCAGTTACCTTATTCTTGGACCAATTTCGGAAGAGTTTATTTATCGAGTTATATTGATCAACCTGTTGCGTCATTGTTATTCACCTTCGATTTCGGGCATTATCGCCTCAGTGTTTTTCTCATTAAGTCATTCTCATTATCATCTTAATTTAAGACGATTACTTGGACGTTGCCAATGGTTCCCTTTCTTTTTCCATACACTTTCGACACTTGTTTTTGGTCTCTATGCAAGTCTTATTTATCTGCGAGTTCAATCAACAGTGGTTGTAATAATTATCCATTCATTTTTTAATTACATGGGATTAATCAGAGTAGAAAGAGTATTCAAACAGTGGTGGCTTTATATTACTGATTTCATTGGAGTGATCATTGCGATGATTTCTTTGTATTTCTTTATCAGGGATTCCGTTACTAATTGAAAGTCTTCAATGAGATCCTTTTGACAATTGTATTAATCATCTTTAATTGCAACTCCTATTTTTAATTACTCATAAAAACATTCCTTAAACTATGATGTTTAATGTTTCAATTATTTTCTAATTGTGTAACTTGATGAGTCCAATGATGATGATGATGATGATGATGATTATAAATGAGTGGTTTTGACTTGAAGGTCGAATTGGATATTGAAATGTAATATGAATGCGGCACAACGGCTACAAGTGTTTCCTTGATTTCCAAGTCAGATTTGTATTCAATTGCTTTGAATTTTTCAGAAGTACATCAGCCCTGAGCTTGTACCACAAATTTGACATAAATTTTGTTGATTTTAGTGGTTAACCACTGGTTCTAGATTGATGATCCAGAATCAGTGGTTTGACTTGATGTGCCAGTTAAACGGTTCGATATCGCGATGAAGTCGGTTTGAATGCGGTCTTGTTTTCGGGCTGATCGATTTTACCTCGTAAATTAATTCTCGGCAGTTCTGGAACGATTACTCGGCCTTTCGGTAGGATTTCCTTTGAGGGATTTGTTCCTCCAACAGTTGTCCGTCGATTTTCATCTCCTTTAGAATTTTCGTCAACTTTTAATCGTAATTCTGTCAATTGTTTATTCAGCCAGGTGATCACGTTCTCATTTGTCTTAATCTGATCCCGACTCGATTCCCATCTCGATCGAAGAACCTTGTTTTCCTCTTTACAGGTGTCAATTTCGTTTTCTCTTTTCTTCAACTTTTCCAAGCACAATTTTAAATCACCTTCGAGTCTTTTTATCTTCAAATCTTTCGTTTCCACGACTTCGTCTTGTTTGGTTGCCACTTCACCCAGAATACTGACTTTGTAACTCGCACTCTTCAGGTGGTCATGTTGCTTCTTGATTATCTCATTGGCCTTAATCAAATCAGTTTTGAGTTGACGGATTTCATTTTCTTTGGAGACACAAATTTTTTCCTTCTCACATGAAACTTGTTGAAGTTGAGATTTTTCCTCTGATGAACTTTTAAACAATCTTTTCAATTCTTTGAGAATCTTTTCTTTCCTTGATTGTCCATTCTCTTGAATAAAGTAACCATTCATTGAGATGAGATTACTTGATGAGATGATATTCCAAACTTCATCGAGTAATATTTTCTCACAATTTTCGAGTTCAACTGTTTTCATCTCCAAACTTCTTATTCGATCTTCAGCAATAGTTAATTGTCCATTTAACTCGTAAACCTTTTTTTTCTCCGACTCAAGTTGTTGTTGATGAATATTGACAAGACTCTTGCTTAACAAATTTTGAGCCTGCAATTTATTGATCAAAGTTTCAGATGCATCTTCCATTGCTTTAACATAGATTGTACCAAAACCAGTCGCCTCGAAAGTTTGATCGCCATAACAAACTGACATTGAACAACGGTAAAGGTTACAGCCAATTTTGGTTACCTGTTCAAAGTAAAGCTTAAAAGCATCCGAATCAGTAGCCACCAGTTGATCATGAAGTCGACGATAATTCATTCTATCCATAGTTGAAATCTAAGGAGAAACAAAATGAATCAAATTTAGACAAACAAAAGACAAACCATGTAAACAAATGAAAACAAACACCTTAAGACTTAAAAAGATAACAGGTCTTGACTAAACAGTCAATTGAAACAATTGATAACAATTCAGAGTAGATAATTAACACTTACCTAACAAAAAAAAGCGATTCACAAAGTCGAGAGAAAATCTAAAAACTTCAAATTAGAATAAGAGAAATCAAAAAGTGTCACTCCCTTGGATTGGACAAGAAAGAATCACATGTGAAGAAATAACCGCGCTTTTTGTTGGGAAATCCTTTTCTTCAACAATAGTTAAACAACGCAATAAATTGTCAAAATGATCGACAAACTACTTGAAATTATAGTGAATTATTTCACAGAGTAACTAAATAGAAAAAAATAACAATTAGTAAAAAATGTTCACCGGATTGATTGAGTCGCCATTTGTTTATCGGTTTCAACTGTTACCATGTAAACAGAATAAATAATGTCTATTATTCTTATTGTTTGAAGAAAAAACCAAAAAATCTACCAAGTGATCAGATAGAAATTTCTACTTTCGTTGAAACAATTTTAATAAAAACCAATTTAAATAAAGAACAAGTTTAATTAGATCAAAATTAATTAAGAAACAAAAGGAAAACCAACTGTTGAGTAATTTTGAAATGTGAAAAAAGAAACAAAATTTTTGAAAAATTTTCTACAAATTTAGTTACCAAAAGAACCAACAGGTGGCAGCTCAATCGAATTAACGATCAACAAAAAATCTGATTGATTTATATTTACATTTATTGTTATTTATTTAACGTTTGGAGTTAATTTCTTTTTCTTTGGTTCACTTTAAATTGCAATTTCCTGAAACATTATTAACTGATTGTTGTTCCAACTAAACAATTGATTTCCTCCTTTGCTGATCAACACCAACATGGAGGAAGATATTGACACAAATATGAAAAGCTCAGAGCCATTGTCATCATCTGTAAGTATTACATTTGTTGAATTTATTTTTTTGTTCTATTCTTTTTTAACTAATGTTCTTTTTACACTTTTGTTTCTTCTTTTTTGTTTCTTCTTCTCTCATTTTTATCTCTCTAACTGTCTAGGTTGATCCAGTGAAAACTGAAAGGGAGGAAGAAGCTAAATTGAAAGCAAAATATCCACAAGTGCAAAGACCGGGTCCACAATTTTTACAAAAGAGATTACAAAAAGGAGTAAGCATTTGGATTCTTATTCATTTCTCTTCACTCTTTTTTTTCTCTACTAGATGTTAACTGTTTGAATCTTCTTCTTTTTCTTATACAGGCCAAATATTTCGACTCAGGTGATTACAACATGGCTAAAGCAGCAGTGAAAAATACTGTATCCAGACAACCATCTTCCTTATCAAAAGAACCCACTGTAAATTTAGTTTCACCTCCTCCAACCGGTGGTACAATACCAACACCTGATGCTTTGGCTACAAAGAGAACATCAATTCATTCACTCAGTAAATTAGCCTCTGAACATCAACACCAATAATAATATCATAGGAAAAAGAGAGAGAAAGACAGACAGACAAGCCGAATAAACAAAAAAGAGATAATCTAAGAGGCAAAGAAACACGAAGTTGTTCATTTCTCTCTTTCTCTTCAATCTTTCTCCTTTCTCTTCAAGCCTCTTTTTTCTTCTTCTTCTCTCTTGTTAATAAAAAAGTGCATATGTAATAAAAGAAAAAGATAGACACATTCCAATCATTCTAGTAAAGCGAGTTTATCTTTCAGAGAAAAGGAGAGAAAAACCTAAGGCTAAATATCAGAGAAAGAGAGAAAGAAAGAGAATGAGTGAGTTGTTGTAACAATTTAGACCATTTATTGGCTTTTAACCTCCCAATCAACTTTTCAATCTACTTTTTGTATCCAATCGTTTACTATTGACATCAGAGGAGAGAGAGGAAGAGAGAAGAGAGAGAGAGAGCGAGAGAGATTAAGTAAAATCTCTCCCCCTCTCTCTCTCTGGTTTGCAGGTAGCATTGAACTTTGTGTGCTCACAACTGTGTGTATTTGCTTTAATTGTGATGAATCTTGTAAAGGAAACGGCAATTATTAAATTGTAGCAAAAGTAAATTAATATTGATTAAATAAAGAAGAAAAAAGTTAAGATCATTTCTCTTCATCTTGCTTATCTCTTGTAAGGAGGAAAATGATAAGATATTTGTTGGGGTGATGATGAGGAGGAAAAAAAGATGAGAAATGGTTAAAGATGCGAGGAAAAGAAAAGCTCAAATCTTGATGGTTTGTTTAGCTAATCAATCTTTAAATGCGCTGCCAGTACAAAGGGCTTTCAATCATCCTAATCAAAATCCATAAGTCAATTTAGATTGAGGTTGAGTAACTGTAATAAGAGAGAGAGAGAGAAAGAAAATTATTATCATTAGATTAATGAATAAACATATAAAATACATAAGTGAATATCAAAATTTCAGGATCAATTGAAGTTCATTATAATACAATTAAGAGGAACCATTTTCATGTTGTTGCCACAGTAAATAATGATAATAGTTAATTCATATTAATAAGCTTAATAAGTAGTTAGTTAGTGAGGGATATCAACAAGACTTTAGATTGTTGTATATTAATGGTTACAAAGGGAAAGCTGTTCCCAATTGATAGTGACTTTTTTCCTGGTTGAGAGAGAGAGAGAAAGAAAGAAAGAGAGAAAATTAGACAGACAAAGATAAAGAGAAAGAGAAAAAAAGAGAGTTATAATGGAAATAGAAAAAGATTAATAGACAAAAAGATGATAAAGATCTCAATTGAATACAATTACAATTAATTCTATCCAATTTAACTAACATTTACCATCTTGTCGAGAAGATATAGAACTCATAATGGTGAGGAAAAAATTTTTAAATGGCAACAGGAAATATCAACAAAAGGTCCTTGAGTTTTTTTCTTCTTTTCTACTGGTGATGATGATGGTGGTGGTGACAAAGGCGTTTTATCGTGTGTATTGAGAGAGAAAAAAAAGAGAGAAAGAGAAAAAGAGAAAAAGAGAGTAGGAGAGAAAGTAAGAAAGGCAAAAGAGAGAAAGAATTTTGACTTGAACGATGGTGGAGAAGAAGATGAATTTTTCTGGCTGTGATGGTGTGATGGTGGATCATGATGGTTATGGTGTTGGTGATGATGGGGACGAGACTACAGAAACAGCTTTCACAATGATCTCAGAATAATCAAATATTTTCTGTCAAACCATCGTGAAAACCAGTTTTGTTTGTCTCTGGTACTAGAAGAAGATGATGAAGAAGAAGCAGAGAAAAAGCAAATAAAAAAAACCAAAAGAAAAAGCATCAAAAAGTAACTAGAAGAAAAAAAAACACACAAGAGAAAAAAAAATGTGGCCGGAACAGGAGAAAAAAAGAATATTTTTAAAAATAGAATTTCAAACAAAATAGAATAATAAATGTAAAAAGAAAAACAGTAAAGTAAAAGTAGACAACACACAGAACAAAAAAAGAATATTATAAACCTTCATAGTTACAAGAGAGCAAAGAAAAAGAACATTGCAAGAGAGAAAAGAGAGAAAAGATAAAAAGAGAGAGAGAAAATAAAATGATCAAAAAAGGAATAGAAAGAAACTCATCCATTCCATGAGAATCATGAGAATGAAATGAAAACGTTGAGTTAAAGGTAGAAAAAGTTGAAAAAGAAAACGACCAAACCTCATTGAGAGGAGAGGAAAAAATGAACACGTAATCAGAAAAAAGGAAAATCCAAAGATCCAAACCAACGACCAACACTCCCTTCGAAAGTGTCGCCATCTACCGACCGTTTCTTCATTCGAATGGAATCTGATTTTTTTTTCTTCTCTTTTTTTCATTTCTTCTTCTTCTTCATCACATATAAATTGTTTAGAATAGAAAAAAAAATTATATCAGAATAAGAAGAAAAAAAAACGGTTCTTCGATTCCGGTTTCTTCCCACAGAATTTTAGAACCGGTTCTTGATTATATATATAAAATACATTCTATTACCTGTAAATAATAATAATGATAGAATATCAAAAAGTTTTCATTCTTGTTCAATTTTCCCTAACTGATCATCATCTTAATCATTAAGTTGATTGCAATTTACTTCAATTAGATTTTCCTGTTAATGGTTTTATGTGTGTTTATTAATTCTGGTTAATTGGTTTCACAATCCCATGTAATTATCATTATATTGATTTTACTTTAACAATCCTTGATTCAATTGGTTTAATTTTGATCATTACAAGAAAACTTTGTTTCATTATCATTTAAATGTATTTGTATTTAATTTAGTTCATCATTTGATTAAGTTATATACTATTATTGTATTATATTGACAATTAAAGGTTAATTAAAAAGTTAGATGGATACAAAGGTTAATTGTTTACAATTGTTTGTTTACTCTCAATGATTGTTGATTGATTTTTAATTTAGATTGAAAAATGAATTCATTTGATTTGATTTGATTTTGGCTTTTGTTTTATTTTTATTGAACATTTTTTTTTTCTTGTGTAATTAAATTTAATTGTTTGATAATTCATTCATAAGACCAGAACATGTTATTTTCATCATAATTGTTGTAATTGTAATTTGAATTGTTGCTGTTGGTATTGGTGTTTGATTCACAATTAGTTTGATGGTTATTTTGATAAGGTTGATCATTTGATTTGATTGTTGTAAATGAATCAATTAAAGGATAATTGTCACAATCACTTCTTAGTCCAGCACCAATGATTTGTGATAATGATTGATTATTATTATTACTATTACAATTGACTTGATTAGTTGATTGTAAACCATTGGTAAAATCATTTGCCTTATTATTAATATTGGTGATTGGTGAAGTTAATTTAATTGTTGATCTTTCACTTGTTTGGTCACATTGGGTTAATTTACTTTGATTGGGTTGATTGTAATTGACTTGGCAAGTTGATTGTTGTAGTGATGAAATATAATGATTAGACCAATTGTAAATTGCATCAACAGTTGATGAAGGTTCAATTGTTGGTGTCACCAAATTGTTAATTGTTGTTGATAATTGTCCAATCCCAGTTCCACCACCACCACCACCTCCATGGTCAACATGATCATAATTAAATAAATTGTTACCACCATTTGGTTGATTATAATAAGGTAAATATTGATCAAGTTCACTTTTCTCAAGATTATCAATTGATTCTGAATCAACTAAATCAATTACATTTTGATTATTGGAGCTGCTGGTAAATTGTAAGGATGAGGTTGATTGGTGATGATGATGATGATTATGATTTACCAAACAATTAACTGTCACAATCGACTCTCCATTAGACTGATCATTTTCACCGGTCGAGTTAATTGTGTTCAATGATAATCCTTTATGTCTCTTATTGTTAATTACATGATGGTGATCATTTGAATCTATTATTTCAAAGCAAGAATAGAAAATAATAAAAGTTATTGAATTAATCAAGGCAAAGAAATTTAAATTAACGCTGATTAACAATTAGGATCACCATTAATATTTATAAATGCTAATTGTAATGATTTATCAATTTTTTCACTTCTCATTCAGTTGAATTAAAAAAAAAAAAGTTAACATGAGATCGTTGAACTTGAGTGTTGATTATGAAAACTTTTTTCTCTCCCAACGAAAATTGTATTAAATGGTTAAATTGTTTGAAATTAATTCTAATCATATTCAATTGGAGTTGACGATGATGATAATTAAAGTTGATTATGTTTTCTTTTTTTTTCGGAAGAACAATTTTCTCTTTTTGTCTTTTATTCTTTTATCCTGAAAATAATGAAGAGGAAAAAGTTTCAGAACTTTTTTTTTCCAATCACAAGTTCGGTAGATAATCGTTAATCTTAAGTGATCTTTAATCTATCTAAACCCTGAATTTTTCATCTCTCTCATTCTGGTTAATTTCCTAATCTCTTGAGTAAAACCAACAACAATTTACTAATCAAAACCTTAAACTAATTAACTTTCAAGTATCTTCCAGATTCCAGTTAATTACCAAACAGTTGATCACAATCAATAACAATTTTCAACCTTTTGCTTTTTATTTTAATTCAATGTCTAAATCATATGATCAGGATGAGATTTCAAGCTAATTATTAACTGATTAAAACACATAAATCCATCAGTCAATTGATTTAAACTTATATGTATTAATATTTGTTGTTAATCTGGTTGTTTCAGTTTCGATCAACAATCAAAATCTAATCACAATAATCATTTGTATTGAATATCAAAGTTTGTGTCAATCTTTGGGAGGATAAGTGGATGAAATTGAAACAACACACACACATGATTAAGTTGCTGATGATGATGATGATGAAAATGATTGTAATCATGATGAAAAATAATTTCAATCAACTAATCATAATACAACTTATAATACATTGAACTTTCATCTAACCTGGATAATATAATCAGCTAACAATCAACTTAAATAACAATGATGATGATGAAAACCTGTCAATATGAAACAAATGAAGCAACAATTGTAATCAATGAAAACCTTAACAATTGATTAACAGTTTAAATCATTTAATAGCATTTAGAAACTGTTATAATCAATATGGATTAAGAAACGTGAAAACAAAGTTAATCACTTTGAAAATCTCAAGTAAATCACAATTAGTGATCATCAATTAGAATCGATTCAAAATAATCTTGTTCAATTGTTCAGCAAATTTCATTATTACCTTTCCAATTGCGATTGATATTTTTCACCCTCAGGGTTAATTCAGAGTTTCAGGAATGATTGGAATGAAACTTGAAGCTATTAGTCAGAATTTTGTTTTTTTTCTTGTTCTGAAAAAATTTTTCTCAGACTTTTTATTTCTCGCCATTTACCTGAACATCAATTTACAGGTAAAGAAAAAGAGTCAACATTTCACCCTGAGGGCATTTACTAACCATCATCATGATAATATTAATACCTTGACATTAGCCTTGACTTAACCTTCAACATCATCTTAATCATGTTCATCATCATCATCATCATCATTTAGATTTATTGGTAAATACATTCAGTCAAAGAAGAAGAAGAAAAAAACTTATGATTTAAATTGCGATTTCATTTATCACTCATTACAAGTAGTTGGAGAATCAGTTGTTAATCATCAATTGTAAATGATTAACTAAATCAGTCTAATCATGAGTAAATTTGATTAATTGTCTCAAGTTCACTTTGATTAAATCAAAATGGTTCATTCAATTGTCTTCTTCTTACCTTTGGTCAATCTTGATTCTATGGGCTTTCCGATTGCAATTAACTCACTTTGTGGTGTTGATGGAGGAGTTAAGACTAATGTTGTTGTTGATTTGGTTGTTGTTGTTGATGATAATGATGATGATGTGGTTGTTGTAGAGATGGTAGATGATGATGATGATGATGAGGATGATTTAGTTGTTCCAGTTATTAGGGTTGTTGCTGTTGGTGTTGGGTAACTGGTGAAATTATTACATGTTAGTGATCTGGTTGATAAATTGTTGTTATTATTGTTGTTGGTGTTACAATGATTAACTTTGGCACTGTTATTGATGTGCTGATGATTTAATGATTTACTGTTGATGTTATTATTACGAGTCAGCTTCTTGGTTTCACTGTAAGTGACAATTAAGTGAAGAAAAAAAAATTACAATCAATTAATCATATTATCTTAAAGATCGGATAAAACAAAAGCAATCAGCAAATTTGAAACAATCAAATAAATTATTTGTCTCTCTCTCTCTCTTATGATTAAATTTAATATCTGACCACAAAGTCAATCAAATGGTTTTAATTGTTACCCAATAATGATAATCACAGTTGATCAGCAATTATCTTATTGTTAAACACCAATAATAATAATAATATTCAGATAATATTTTTATGATTGACATGATAATACTTTCTGATAATCAATCACGTTTCTTTTTTTACATAATCAGTTGATTGGTTGATATATTAAATGAGTGGGTTAACAAAATAGGATAAATCAACATCAACAATCAAGCGAGAAAAAAAATGATCCATCAATTATAATCAACCAGTAATCAATATACAAAGATTATTATTCAATGGAAAACAGAATCTGAATATTCATGTAACCAGAATGAACAAGAAAATGTTAAGAAAAAAAAAGTTTCTCTCAAGTTCGAGAAAAAAAAAGTTCTAAAGATCAGAAATTTGTGATAAATGAATGAAAATAAAAACTAAATATTTGCTAATAAATTGTTATTGTTGATGATGATGATAATAATAATAATAGTAATGATAAGATGATGATGATGATGATGATGAAATGTTTTCTGTTGATTGTAGATGTTGATAGTTTCAGGCTTATTGTTACTGGTTATTGTTTTCCGGATGAAATACAAGCGAAGATAATTCAATCTCTGAAAGGAGATTTATCTTCATCTTCATCATCATCATCTTCTTTCCCAAGCAAGAATTCTTGTTCGTCATCATCATCATCATGTTCACACGGAATATATAACCAAGCATCAAGTGGAATCAACAAGCAAAGAGGCAAAAAAAGGAAAGGAAAGGAAAGAGAGAGAAAAAAAATATTCTCCTTTCAAATGCTTTTATTGAACTCATGTCAAAGGTCAACAAACCTCTTTTTCACGTTTTCACGTTTATCTTCCTCTATCTTCTCTTTCTTTTCATCATTATCATCTCTCTCTCTCTCTCTCTCTCTCTTCTCTTTCTGAGAAAAAAATTCATTGCTTGATGTGTGTTCAGGTTACATTGAAGTTGATAAAAAAAAGGTAAACTCCTCTTGGCCATAAACAAGATTCCTGAAGAGGATGAAGTTGATCATGATGATGATGATGATCAACAAGTGGAAGATGAGGATGACAGAGGGGAGGTGGGAGTCGGGTTAAGGTTGTCTGTTGAATTTAAATTGCATCCACTGTACCTGAGATGATGTAAACTGTTTGATAATAATCAAAGTGTTTCCATCCTTTTAGCATCTCAATATATACTTTTTAATGGTTTATGTATTTCAAATATTACTTTTTTTTATATTGTTTAAGGCCTTAGGGTTTTACTGATAATCAACTTTGATTAACTGATTAGTTTGTTAACTATGGTTGACTAATTCATTCAGTTTATTATTTGCTTTTTTCTTGCAATTCATTTAATTTCATTCACATTTTTTTTTCCTTACCTTTCTGGTTACATGTTAATATTACATTTTTGCTGATTATCATGATCGTTGATCAAGATTGAAGATGCGTGATTATTGGTTGATTATCTTAATGATAAATTGATCAACCCAAAAAGGAATCAACAATTTATTTAGTCTATCAATTTAATCATCTCTATCCTGATGGTTTAATCTTCAATTTAAATTGTAACTTTGATTAGGCTTCAATCTCAATCTCTTTATACCTTTAGCTTAATCTTAATCCAAAACTTTAGCCCTTGTCTTTAATCATGATGATGATGATGATTATGGTTGATGGGTAATTAATTTACTTCAATTAAATTGTTTCTGTTTCTAATCCTTAATTGTTGGTGTTTATTCAATGATTTTGATTATTTCTTTCATTATAATCAGACTGATATTGTTTGGATTGACCTGATTGTTTGCTGATTATTAATTATTATCGCAATTTAAACCCATGAATTATTGGAGGCATTAATTGTTAACTGTTAACTATGAACGGGGAAAAAAGGTTAATTGTGTAAATTTAAATATTTATCGTAATTGTGATTAACTAGTAATGGTGTTGGTTGATTGTTATGAGTAAAAAAAAACAACTTTAATTGGTTTTAAATTAAGTTTACCATGAAAAATGAATTAATGTTTTTATATTTTAGTTTTAACGTTTAATTTTGATTTATTGTTATTACAATTAACTAATTGTTTAAATGTTAATTACTAGTTAGTCTGAGATTTTTGTTTCCCGATCAAAGGAAAAATGATCAATTCAATTGATTCATCATTCATTAAATTAGCAAAAATTTTCACTTATATTCAAGGTGATTAGTTATCCAGTTGATTTAATTAAACAAGAAATTAAATCAAATTCAAGATTTTGTTTCACGAGTGAAATGATTACTTTAAATTGTTTCAATTAGTTAAATAATTAATCTCAACTTATAATCTCAAAAGTTTTCTTATTCTCTCAGTAATTCAAGCACTTTCTCAATTTAAACGTATTTAGGTTAATTAATGTGCAATTAATTAACTCTACTAGTTAATTGATAAAATTGTTCATTCATTTAACTTGTTAATCAGACAAAAGCAATTAATAAATTGCTAAATTAAATTCAAGTTACATATGACTCCATCTCTTGGATCAGCTTCAAACTTTTCAATTCATATAAAACTTTCAAATACAAACTGTAAACTTTTCATTTGATTTATAATTAAATCAGTAATTTCGTCGTAGAGAAATTAAAAAAAAAATAAACAACCTGTTGATCATAAATTCGAGCTAATTGTTCAATCTTTTAGCTACGATTCATTTCCACAGGGAAATCGCCACCTCATGAATTGTTGGGATTTTCACCTGAAAACTTTGAGTCGGGCTTACGACTTTTCGAATAGGACTTAACAAGTGGCCTGTTCTTTCATTACCTAAACGGAAGATGAAACACTACACACTTGATTAGAATTAGAATGATATTTGAATCGAAATAAAAAGTTCACATATCGACTGAATTTCGAGATGGATAAACTATTGATAGCACGGAGAAAGGCCATTTACAAATGACATGATAACAATTTGCTAATTGTTACCACGATAAAGTAAATTAGATATCAACAGGTAGCAATCCAACAGGTTAAAATTACCAGTAAACAAAAAAAGACAGACTGAAACAATCAACATCTATTCAGTTAGCAATTAGGAAATGATTATGGTAATCAGAGTTTGAATGTTTCTGCAAAGAAATCAAACTAATTAACCAAAATGATTATAATGATTAGATGAACAATGAAAAGATGATTATGAGCAGATAAATTGTAACAATTTAGAGCTGCTTGTTTTCCCAATCAAGACCATTGATTGTTGGCTAATCAGGTTCAACTTAATTGTATTGGAAAACGTTAATTCACATAATTAACATTCGGATAGACAAAGATAATCATTTTTTTCATCTTCTTCAAACCGAATTAAATATTGGAGAGAAAATTTTTTTTTTCTCTTCATCCAATTGATTTGATTGGAAAGAGAAGGAAAAAAAATCAGTTCATCTTCCAATTTTTTTCTTAATCATTTCAAATCTTCAGATTATCTTCACCTCCTTCACCTTCACCTCCACCCACTCAATTTCATCTCTAAGACTTTTCTTTGTCTCTCTCTCTCACTCTCTCATCATCTTGTTTTCATCATCAATTTTTTCTTCATCTCCATCATCTTAAATTGCTACCAAATCATCATCACAGGTATAGAGACTATGCAATTACAATCAATAGCAATTTAGAATCAAACTAACCCTGTAATCAGTGTATATGATTACAGCTTCAACAATTAATGATTGAGAATGAATTTGAGACAATTAATTAAGCATTTTGATTGCTGTGAATTTACAACTGATACTTTCCAACCAGTTACTCAATTGATTGGTTCGTAAATGATTAACTTTGAAAATTTTGGATTAATTTTCTCACCTTCGAGCTGATTGTTTCATTGATTTAGTTTCATCAGAGGAATCGGTGAAATCAGTTTCATATGAGACATTTGACTTTTTAGATGATGAGGATGATGAAGATGAGATTGAGGTCGCTGACGATGAAGATGATTTAACTTTGGATGAGAAAGATGAAGATGGACAATCAGCTGATTCCGATTGACCATTTTTACCACTCTTACGACGACGAGGTTGATATTTGTAATCAGGATGAGCCGTTTTATGGATCAGTCGAAGTCTTTCCGCTTCCTCCATGAAAGGTTTTTTTTCCTCTTCACTTAGAACCCTGAAGGAAGAAAAGAAAATCATAATGAATGAATGTCCAAGAAAAACGGATTCCATGATGATGAAAAGGAGAAAGTGGTCAAGGTTGGTGATTAATTACCTCCAAAGTTTACCAAGGGATTTGCTCAATTCTGCATTATGTAGATGCGGATATTGGTCAGCAAGTTTCCTTCGAGCGGCTTGAGCCCAAACCATGAACGCGTTCATCGGCCTTTTAACGTGAATCTTTAATTTGGCCGATGAGGTTGATTTAGATGAGGTGGTCACTAAGGTCCAATCGTATCCGTTTAAAACTTTGGTCACTGCATCACTTATTGAGGGGGTAAGTTGACCATGATGCTGTTTCTCTGACCATTTCCGGGAACCATTCACTTTACTCACGGAGGAAATTGTTAATGAGGTTAATTGTTGCGATGATGATGATGATGATGATGATGATAAGTTAGGTGTTAAAGTAACTAATTGTAACTCTTTTGTATCCATTGAGGTTATTAGAAAATTATCAGAATTATGATTGTCCAGTTTAGGAGGATTTTGGTGAGAGACACTAAATTTTAAATTGTCCGTTGATATTTCATCACTCATATTACATAATATCAACTATTGTGTTTTTTTGGCTCAATTGGTAAACAAAAATGACAGGTAATAACATCAAGGTGACATAAAAGTGGGTGGTGGTGGTGGTTACATGGGCACTGGTGAGGGAGGAGGGGGAAAGATGATGATGATGATAATGATGACGATGATGAATTGAATGATTAGATTGAATGAAAGGTAAAGAAGAAAAAAAATTTCTCTAATCTTTTCTATGAAATCCTTTATTCTCTTTCTTTCTTTTTCTCTCCCTGTGTCTCTTTCTCTCTCAGATGAAGATAAATAAAAGGCTATTGATGATAAAATTGACCCTAACTATGGTTTTGCTTTGTATTAACCACTGATGATGATGACAAACAATTAACACAGATTCAAAGATGAAGCAAGAAATACACTGAATTGGTTGTGATAAAATTCTAGTAAAATGATGATGATTGAAAAGAGTGAGATGAGGGAGATGATGATGATGATGATGAAGATTATCATCAGATTAGAGTTTAAAAAAATATGTAAAGAGATATAATTAATTGATAAAAGTTGATGATGAAGATGAAGATGATCAGTTTTTGGCTAAGTAACGGACTTTGTTTCATTGAAAGTTTCGGATCTGGAAGGAGGGAAAACGATGAAATAGATGATGATGATGAGAGTGAGAGAGAGAGAGAGAGAAGATAAAAGAAGATGATTTTAGGCGTGAATTTGATTGGGTGGTTGTCGTTTCTTGATGACACTGAGAACGACAATATCGCTGACGATGATGATGAGAATGATGATGGATTAGGGATTAAGAGATGAAATGAGAAGTAAAAACAAAGATTCAAATGTAAACAAATAATAAACTTTTGGAGGATAAAAAGATGATGATGATGAGAGAGAGAGAGAAGATGAATCAATGTCTTTATCTTGTTTAGATTTAAATATAAACATATGAGGGAAAAAATTCCCAATGAAAATTGTATTAGAACAAATTAGAACTTTTTTTCTCTATCAATTCAACTTTTCTCATCGATTTAAAGTTTTATTACTTGACAATTAACGATCTCTTTTTAATTGTTAGCTTTGTATCTAACTTTGGTTTGTGGTCATCATGGTCAAATTGACTTTGATTTTAATTACAGCTAATTGATTGCTGGTGTTTTCTTTTATCTGGACTTGATTGTTAATTTACAGGGCATTTCACCAAGTTTCCAACAAGTTTTTCTTGAATAACTTTCTTGTTTTTGAATGTTCAGACCCCAGACTCGAGTTATGGCAGTTTAGGTCATACTCAATTGTCATATTAAAATACCAAGGTCATTTTGTTAGGATACGGTTTCAAGGTCATTTGATGGTCTAACAAAATGACCGGAATGACCTTGATATTTTAATATGACCTAAACTACCATAACTCGAGTCTGGGGTCTGAACATTCAAAAACAAGAAAGTTACTCAAGAAAAACTTGGTGAAATACTCTGTAGTTGTTTCTTTGTGTTGGTTAGGTGCTGATGATTGGAATCCATTTGTTTAGGATTATATCATGATTAATTGTTTTTCTTGAAGTTTGAGTTAATTAAAAAATGGAAAAATTTTCTTCTTCTTTTATGTTATTGATCATTTGTTGTAGATTAATTAACTTGTCGGAAACGGAATTACGAATGAAGTTGATGACATTCAATGTTGACATTTATAAATGTTAATCACTTAATCATCAACAATTAACAACAAGAGTAACAAAGACAAGTCTTTGTGATTAATTTGTTAAAAATTCATTTCAATCAACTGAATTCATGATTACAAAGTATTACAAGAGAAACAGATAATTAATCTGGTTAATTTAATAATCAACTGATTAACTGTCCAACAGTTGAAATAGTTAATATGTCATTAAAAGAAAATTATTCAATTAAACAGCAATCAACAAGTTGGTCTGTTAATTTAAGAAATTAAAAGAAAGAAAATAAATCAGGCTAATTAAGATTCTTTGTTTTTCAATAAAAAAACACATCAAACCTTATCAAAGAAATTGATTCATAACAATATAAATATAATATAATATTAAATATCCATCATCATGATAAAATAATTAACCAATTTAGTTAATTAACTTATTATTAATAATTTAATCAAAGAATTTGAAATTACATTAGTGCCTCTATCTATGGATCAAAAAGTTAACTAAAAGTCGAAAGAAAGAAAAAAATTTTCATTCCAACATTTTAACTTTTCCAAATCTTCTCCTTCTCTAATTAATGACAATTTCCAAGAAAAATTTTAAACTAATATGTTCTACAATCAGAAAATTTAATTGACAAAAACAATTCTTTTCCTCATTGTAACCAAATTAAATTTGAATCTCATTCAATCGGTAACTATGGTTACTTAATTGTTTACAATTCTGATTGAGAATAACTCGTAACTTCATCTGGTGTCATCTAAATAAACTAAAAATCGGATCTAAATTTTGATTATTTTGTTTTTGTTTTTCTCTCACAATTTGAGTTGATCATTTAATAAACATCATTAGTTGATTTCTTCTGAAGAATTACTTTGTTAATTGTTGTAAAATTGTAACAATTAGACTAATTGTTTGTATGTTTAATCTCCAGTTGAGTGATAATATTTTTCTACCTGTGATGATTAAAGTATCTTTAATAAGGATTCAAGTCTTTTGGACACTCCCTCATTGAGAGAGAGAAAGAGAGAGAGAGAGAGAAAAACATATTCTTTTGTTGCAACTTTTTTCTATTCTCTTTTGATGATTTTCTCTTTCTTTTCTTTCTTCATTTACCTGTTAAAGTCTTTTACCTTTTTGTTTTGTGTGTGAAGAAAAAAAAAGTGACTTCTCTTTCTCTCTTCTTTCTCTCCGTAATGAGTAACGGTTAATTTTGATTAATTTTCTTCTCTTTTTTTTCTATTTATTTATATAATTCTTATTGTGTGACTGTGTCTGAGTGTCATCTTGTGATTTTTTATTTCTCTCTCTCTCTCTCTGTCTGTCTATCCCTTAGTCTCTATCTTTCTCTTTCTCTCTGGAAATTATGAGATTTGTCGCCCACAATGGACCCTGTACATGTCTCGCTCTTGGTCAAAAATCGGGTAGAGTTTTGGTTACCGGAGGTGATGATAAAAAGGTTAACTTATGGGCCATTGGTAAACCCAACATTTTAATGAGCCTTTCAGGTCACACAACGACAATTGAATGTGTTAAATTTGGTCACAATGAGGATCTTGTCTGTGCAGGTTCAGTTGCCGGAGCTTTAAAAGTTTGGGATCTTGAATCGGTTAAATTAGTGAGAACCTTAACTGGACACCGATCTGCTGTTAAGTGTATCGATTTTCATCCTTATGGTGATTTTCTAGCCTCCGGATCAGTTGATTCTAATATTAAATTATGGGATATTCGTAAAAAGGGTTGTATGTATACCTACAAAGGTCACGTTAAAGATGTTTATTGTTTAAAATTTAGTCCTGATGGTCGTTGGCTCGCCTCTGGAGGTGATGAGGGTTCAGTTAAACTTTGGGATCTTCCTGCTGGTAAACTATTAGCCGAATTAAAGGAACACTCAGCTCCGGTTACCGATGTTTGTTTCCATCCAAATGAATTTCTTCTATCAAGTGCCAGTTCCGATGGAACAATTAAATTCTGGGATTTAGAGACTTTCCAACAAGTCTCAACAACCACAAATGATGTTGGTCCAATTCGTAAGATACTTTACCACCCTGAAGGTAAAACAATCTTCAGCGCTGCTCGTGATGTACTTAAAATTTACGGCTGGGAACCAACTCGTACCTATGATACGGTTACTATGGGCTGGGGTAAAGTAAATGATATTGCGATCTCAGATAATTCTCTTGTGGCTTCAACCTTTTCACTCACAAATGTTTCCGTTTTCATTGTTGATCTCAAAAAGTTACAACCTTTTGGCTCATCATCATCATCTTTATCTTCATCATCATTCTCTTCTTCTTCCTCCAACACCATCAATACAAATACCACCTCTTCACCATCATCATCATTATCCCTTCTCTCACCAAACAATTCAAATTCATCGCCTTTATCAACAAACACCAAACTCATGCCTTACAGAGATTCAGTATCACGACAAAGTACAAGGAAAAATTTCTTCCATGGTAATTGTAGCACAACACATTCCCAATTAGAGTAAGTTCTCAATTGATTTAATTTTAAAACCTAAATCATCATCATCATCACCAATATGTTTACCATCCTCTTAACCCGCAGCAAGTTTGTTAACAAGATAAATAATACATGCTGAACCACCTAAATACACTTTAAATTGAGTCACTCAGACAATAATTACCGTAAATGCCTTTTCTTATTATTCTTAATAATATAATTATTATTATTTTATTATGATGATGATAATGATGATTGGGTGATTTACGATCCACTTTTGGTGTTTTGTTCCGTTCGAGAAAAACAATCTAACTTTTGCTTCTCTCTCTCTCTTCCTCTTACTGTCAATATTTTCATGAAAATAATATTATTCTGATAATATTTTGTCATGAATATAATCTTGAGATTATTAATCATCATCATTATATTCAAAACTAAGGCTCAAAAGCTAAATCATCCCGAACAATTTGTTTTGCATTCTCTTAATTAGCTTTTTGTTTTTCTCTCTTTCTCTCTCTTGTTTTCCTTTCTCACCTGATTTGTTATTTAACGGTAGTTGTTTTCCTTTTTCTCCTTTCATCACTATCATCATCCTAATCATCATCATTATATCACATTTACCAACAAAAATTTGCAAATTTGATTGTTTAACCGTTTTTTTGTTGATGTTATTGTTGTTTCTTATACAATCAGATGATCAGTCAACAACATCAATATCCAATTTGATTAAGAGATTAGATCAGATGAGATACAAGTTCGCAATTATTATAAATGCTAATTTCAAGGATATATCTCTCTTAATCACTATCAATAATATTAATAACCGATTAATTGACATGTATTATTATTCAATTACCAATTACATGTTTTGTTAACTTTTCCACCATCAAGCAAGAAGCTGATTAACTGTCAAATTTAATGCCTCATTTTCATTAATTTAGTTTCTTTTTCTCTCTCTCTCTCTCTCCATCCTTCTCTATTTCATCTTAAATTTTACCTTTTTTATGCAATTATTTCAAAATCTAATTGAATTCATTGTGATAATTAACTTTAAACTTTTGATTAGCATGTTTTCCCTTTGCCGTTTCAACGCCTTCATCTTTTTTATCCCTTCTTCTTGTAATCAATATAATTTTGGCGAAAAATTGGACATTTCAATTTTCAGAACTTTTTTTTCGTTTTCTCCTGAATTTGACTTCCATGACAAGCCTGTCTGACCTTGAATTCTCCTGAAAATTTTCATGAAAACTCCTTTGCAGTTATGTATTTTCTCTTCTCTTAATTAGCAATCAATTACAATTTTATTCTTAATTCTTTCACACTGAGAGATGAATAGCTTAAGTTAACTTTCTGTATTTAGCAATTTAAATATTTTTAATATCGTTTTTTATAAATCTGTCTCGCTCTTATAATTAGATTACTAAAAAAATTATTATTATTATTACAGTTTAACGCTTATATCATGTTATCAACTAATCATCTTATAATCGTATTCATAAATTTTATCATATTCATGAGATTGGTAACTATTATAAGCACTAATCTAATTATTTTTATCTTTCCTCTTTATCTTACATTTAGATCATTGGAATCCAATCGAAGTGAGGAAACCGAGACCGGATCAGATGAACCCGAAGGCGAGGAATCAATTGATATAAACAATATTTACGATACCAAGGAAATATTTGCTCCAAGTCGAGAACGTAGGAACAACTTTACTTTTTAACCCTTTTCTCTCCTTCCCTTCAATATCATCTAATATCAAAGCTAATCCATTCATGATCATTAATCTTGATGATGCTAACCACCTTAAAATATTAATTCTAAATTCAATTTCTCTTCACCTCAATCTCCAATCTCCAATCTCTCCCTAGTGTGTATGTGTGTCCATTTTTATACATATTCACTAAGGTTATATATTCACTTATTCAATTTTGACAATTCAATCTCGATAAACCTTGATGTTTATACTTTCTCACTGTTGAATCGCCGTCAAGAATATAACAACCTTAGCGGATACATAATCTAAGTGGGTACAGATACACATCCACACAAACCATTATTATTTTGTTAATCTTTTTTTATTTTCTCATTCTTTTTTCTCCCATTTCTCTCTCTCTCTCTTATTTTTTTACTCCTGCTTGATTTTTGCTCCATCATTTTTACCTGTTTTTAATATCTCTTCTTGTTCTGGTTGGATCTTTAAGTTTGTCGTACTCCTCCGCCACTCACTTCATTAGCACAATCTCCTTCAAGCATGGGTATGCACCTTATATGGTTAACCAAACCTTGAATACTCAAATATTGATAAAACTGATAATATAATTTAATATTAACAATCATTATATTATTTTTCTTATCATTATTTGTATTCAAGTTACTTTTTATCGAAGACGAAAAAGAAGAGAGAGAGAAAAAGAAAATCAACAAAAAAAGAAGGAGCTGAAAATAACAAGTTTTTCTTTTTTCTTTTTCGTTGATTTTTTTTTCTTCTCTCTTCCTTTTCACCTTTGTTTTTGTTATTGTTTTCGTTTTATCATCATCATTATCATCAACATGTTCCATATCACTTCCATCTACACAGATTCAACCCAAAAGCTAAACGAACTTAACTTATCTTCCCTTTCCTCATCATCACCTTTATCCTCTTATTCACTAAATGGAAATCACCATAACTCTAATAATAATAACAATAATAATCGTATAGCCAGTGGAATGTGTTCCATAGAATCACTTTCATCGCCGACAATTGGAACTTTATCAACACATAATCTAGGAAATAAAACTCCGTCCATTCCACCACAATCGCTGAAGATTCCACCGTCCTCCTTATCTTGTTCCTCTTCTTTAGTTTTAAGTTCACCGACAAAAATGTCCACCACAACTGCCCAATGTCGTCCTAATCCTCGTACCAATATCTTACCATTGCCAATAGTCTCACCTTATTCAAATGTTACCTCACCACCAACTTCCTTATCATCACCCCTTTCTCATCATTATTCTCATTCTCATCCTCATCATGCTCTTCATAATAATAATCATCATCATCACGCATCTTCTCACAATATTAATTCTTCCCTTCATCAACATCATTCTCTCCATCACGATCCTGTTCTCATTAAACAACCTGTTTCTACGACAACAGTTAATGATTCCTCATTAGGTTATACTGCCAAGATATCAACCTCTGTTATACCGCCTGTGACAAAAGCAACCACTCCAACGTCATCCTCATCATCATCCATTGCAACATTACCTTTAACTAAATCATCATCAACCGTACTACATACATCTCGCTCAATGAGCAATTTAAGCCAAAAAACAGCCAAATCAACTAATCTGGTTCATCCTCGCCAACAACCTGAAGTAATCTCAATTGTACGGCCAGTTATTAATGATAGTAAAACCAAATCTCATCTCAATGGATCACCATCATTAATCAATACTAATGAGAATCACAAAAATTCAAATTCAATGGATAATAATCATCTTCATCATTCCACAAAATCAGTTGCCAATAATATTAATAATAACAACAATAATAATAATCTTCATCATCATCATCATCTAAATAATAATAGTAAACATCAACCTCGAGCTGCAGTTGTCTTTCCAACTGAACAACAATTACATAAACAACAACCTCAGTCATTGGATCAAATTGAATCTCCTGTTGATTTAATCCCGGAAGCCCGAGATAGACCAGCCGGTTTAGATTTAGATGATTTTCTACCCAAACATCTACAAGATACCGTTCGCTTGGGTTATCATCCACAACCAGAAATGTCAGAATCGGAAGCTATGCAAGCAATTATCAGAGGACACAAGTCAGTTGTAACAGCGCTTTCCCATCGTCGTAAAAATCTTCAAATTGTCCTGGCCATGTGGAGTACCAAGGATGCAAGGAACGCACTCGAGCAAGCGATAAATATGGAAGATCAATCCGTCCTAGTAGACATACTTAATGTCATTACCTTGAAACCGTATGTATCAAATGAATTTTAAAAAAACAATCATCTTCATCTTAATCATCATCCTCATCTCAAGGTTTTTCAATTCCAATATTCATTAGCCAAAAACAATCAATTGATTACTAACTCTAACAATTAGACATTTATAATAGTTGAGGCAAATAATGTACAACCTTTTCTTATTGTTACATCATAATTGTTTTGTTTTTTCACTATCCCTCTCTCTCACTTTACATTTCAATTACTTTCTTTTGATTATGAACAATTTAGTGATTTACCGGTTCTGTTTTTTTTCCTGATCAACCTTCAAATTTTTTCAATACATTTTGTCAATCAACTTTGATTCAATTACTGAAAAAAACGCAAGAAAACTATGTCAATGATTTTTTTAATACAATCATATCAAACTTTTTATACCTTTATTATAGCCAATTTACCTTGAGAAAGGAAGATGATTAGGAAGAGAGTGAGAGTAATGAGTGTTTTTTATAATCCAATGAATCGATTATTTTACTAATAATTTTTTTTCTCTCTTTTTTACACAGAGCAAGTTGGACTTTAGATATGTGCCAGATTCTTGTCCAGCCGATCTACGAATTACTTCAAAGTCGATACGAGAGGTATGTGTCCCCACCATTGAAGATGCGAAATGTTCATGTTTGAATTTGGTTTTTTTGGCATTGATTACAAATTACATCATGATAGATCCAGGGGTCAATGATATTTGTTGCTGGTTACCATGGAGTAATTTCAATTGCAATTAACAATGTTATCTTCTGTGTGTATGTGTGTGTGTGATCAATGTTATTTTTTTAGATATTTTGATTCTGTTAGATTCTGGATTCACTAGACTAACCTTTTTCATATTATAATATCGTCATGAAGATTATTGATTTTTTTTTCTGTGTTCATCAACTCCTACTAATCATGAGAAAGTCAATAACTTTCATGATGTATATTGTCATGTACCTGAAAAATACAAGGCTATTCAAGGTCAAATATGAAAATTAATTGTTAGATCAACAATCAATGACTACCATAATCATTGATCGTTAAATACCTTTACATGATTGACAATATGTACACACACACTTTTTTTTTGTATGCATATTTGTCCTTTGATTGTAAAAATTTGATGATTACTAAATTAGGTTATCCCTTTGGTAATCATATTTAATTAACTCTTTCCTTGATTGTTACTACATAATCCTGATTGTAACCTTGTATAATTTATGTGCTAGTCATGTGTTGAGATGTTTCCAATTTTCAGCCCAATCTTTTTTATTCACTCAAATTAAACAAGGTTACAATTAATTATGATTAAACAATAACATCAAACAACAACCACAGTAAAAAGTTAACATGATCACTTTTTATTAATTTACTTTTGATATAATATATATAATATAATTATAATGATAATAAGTAAGACAATTAGGGCTTTCGTTTAGTAAATTAACTGATTGTTTAACATACAAAACAACCAAACTATTATTATCACCTGATGTTAATAATAATATTATATTATTAACAATTAAATTTAAGAAGCGAGGAAGATGAAGAAACAAGAAAAAAGCGTAAAAAGCTTTATCATCATTCAGTGTTTAGCTTTAATTCAGTTTAAATTGTTGCCGTTGTTTGAAACAACAGCTAGTGGGTAGATGTTGTTTCAATCAATTTGATATATTAATATACTTATATTATTATTATTGTATATTGTATATTATAATAATAATAATAATCAGCGAGGCCATTACATTCATTCAACCCACTATCTTCCGTCATCGTAATTTATTCAATCATTAATTTACAATTTAACAAACAGTAATCTCAAGGATAATTTTTTGATTTTGTGAATCTGATTCTGGTAAATTGTTGTTGCTGTTAACCAATTTATTATCCAATATCATGTTAATCTTATACACATCAAAATGTGATTATCCGAAATCTTTTCTCGCAATTCAATTATCTATTCAATATAATAATTATTATTTTATTTTTCTGATTATTGTTGATTGTTGATTGTAATTCAGTTCAGACGATGAGGAAAACTCCCCCAAACAATAATAGTTTGTTTTCATCAGGAAAAGTTCAATAGCCAGAAACAGACAAGTTACCTGAGGATGAGGTAGAAACCGTTATATATATTTTTACCTGTTTCTTTTTTCAATGTTTGCATTGTCACCATGACTTTGACTTTAAACCAGCAATTTAATATCATTATTGTTATTATTTCAAATTGTTTGAATAGGTTGTTTTTTTCACCATGATGATGATGATGATGATGTTATTAGCTTTTTGATATATTAATAGTAACTAATTTGACAACAAATTAATTCTTATTCTCAGTGTCATTTGAAGGTTAGGTTAGGTTAGATTAGTTTGAGATGCTTTCTAACAATCAATATGTATTGTAACTGTTAGTTAATTGCTACTTTAAATGTTGAAATTTTGTAATCACTCTTGTCAATCTAATCTCTGTGAGAGTGAGAGAAACAGATTAATTTGATTAATTACATTGATACTCAATCTGAATTTGATGATAACATGTCAACTTATGTGATGTACAATTACTTCCTGAATTACGTATTAGTTTAGCATTTTTTTTCCTCTTTCCATTGATGATGTATTCTTATTATTATCATGATTCAGTTGGAATATGATGATAAAACACTATTACGTCGTCAAATTGCCTTTAATTGTGATGATGATTATGTCTCACCCATTTAATTTTATCACAATTACCACAAATCTCAATGAATCTCCTCTTGTTATCATGTTGTTGTTTTTAATTTAATTGCTTAGGCGTTAATTTATGATGATATTAGTTGATTGAAGGTAAACTTTATCTTCATCTTGTGGAAAAAAAATCATTATTGATCTCATACATTTACCTTGACATTCAATTACGATGTTGACGTTTTTATTTACTTTAATCACTTTGTTCAATGGTTAATTTATCATCTTAACTCAACAAAAAGTAACAGTAAACAATTATGTCAGTTTTGTGAATAAGGATAACCTTCAATTTTCAATCAATCAAACATTGAACTTGTAATATTATCAGTATTTAACTAACATTTTCCTATTACAGTTAAGATTTATTATTATTATCATAATTTGGTTAAGATGTTTGGGTGCATTTACTTATTTGTATTGAGTGACCCTGTTTTTAATGGTTCTTCCTGTATTCTGACAAAACAGTTTCCCTTAATTTAATCATAATTATGCTAATAGTTGAGTTAATATTATTACTTTCCATTTAAATACTGTCTATTTCTGATGCCACGAGACCATTTAATTAGTACACTATTTTACTTAACCTAATTTTTAGTTATAAATGTAAAACTTTCAGAGGAGGAAAAGTTTTATTACCGTTGGTCAGTAAGTTTGATTACTCAATAATAATTAAGTTCAATTAACTTTTAATTAGAGCTTAATCTCATGCTGTGGCTTAAAAGAAACAGATTTATTCTTCATCCCATTATACAGGGCTATTCAGCTATTTTTACCGATGTTTTTTGAGATTTTCTCAGGAACTAAGAGTCAGAGAGACACGAGACTTGAGTGGTATGAGTTTGATCGATACTCAATTTTCATATCAAAAGATCAAGGTCATTCAGGTCATCGGTAAAATAACACGATTCAAGGTCTTCTGAAGGTGATACAGTTATTCTCCAGATTTTTTAACCCTGGAAAATGAGTTTAGAGATCGCTGTTGTCACAGACCTTTTGATATTACGGTTTAATTGAATAACTGTTGAAAATCTTCTTTTCAATAAATTTATCTTAATGCGCATAGCAAAGCTCATAGAAACCTGAATGACCTGAATGACCTTGATCTTTTGATATGAAAATTGAGGATCGCTCAAACTCATACCACTCAAGTCTCGTGTCTCTCTGACTCTTAGTTCCTGAGAAAATCTCAAAAAACATCGGTAAAAATAGCTGAATAGCCCTGTAGCTTCCTGAAGTGAGAGAGTAATTGAGTGAGTGATAAAAAAAACGGAAACATTGAAACACTTAACATGGGAATCAATGAATCTGTTTTCACCCTTAAGCCTCATTAAGTGTTTATGTTGTGATATCTATTTCAAGTGTATACATTGAATAATATTCACTAATCACTTTCACTATCCTCATCTCTGTAATGATTAACCGATCATATGTTTTTTCCTGATAATATTCACATTGAGATTATGTTTGTGAATTCAATTGTTTATGAAGATTTTTTTCTCTATTCACAATGAACCAATCTATTAGCCAATAATTGTGTCTAAATGTGTATATTTGTACCATTGATAATCATGTTAGTGTTTAGTATTATTATTATTTCTTCATTCAGGTCAGTTTTGAATGCTATTGTTGTGTTATATTGGTCATTTTTGGTTGTTCATTGATTTGAAACTTGATTTGAGAATTAACTTTCGATATGCTTTTCTCCTACTTAAAACCATTAGCACATTAGTTTATTCGCCTATTGACTTAGAACTTTTTTCTTCTCTCTCTTTCTCCCAAATTGTCGACATCAATCAAATAATAATATATAATAATGTACTTTTCTACTGCTCGGATTTCCGATGTTAAGCTTTTTCTCTCGTTTCATCATCATCTCTCTTTCTTTCTCTCTCTCTCTCTCTCTTTCTCTTTCTCTCTCTCTCTCTTTCTTTTAATCTGTAAATGAACAGTGGAAGATTTTACATAAATCTTCAAGATTATACAGTTATTTTTCTTATATACATATTATCTGATATAAAAAAGAGATGATGATGGAGAGATGATCAAGAGCGAGAGAGTAAATGAGAGAGTAGCTGCTGGTGTCGGAAAAATGAGCAGACCATTATTATTATTATTGTTATGTTATCATTATCATTGGGACTCTCTTGTGTCTATTGAAAATGTTGATCGTTTTAAATGGTTCTTTTTTTCCCCCACCAAGATGTGTCTTCCTTTAAGGCGATCTTACTCTCTCTCTCTCTCTCTCTCTCTCATTTGAATCTTTTAAAAGTTTGACTCACGTCTAAAGGGAAGTATGAAGATGAAGATGATGAAGTAAGAAGACGAAGGTGATAGGTGAAACCAATAAAAGCACAAAAGGCATAATAATGATAACTATGGAAAAGCTAACTGATGATTATTATTATGATTAAAACGATGAAAAGAGAGAGAGAGAGAAACTCATAACAACACAATCAGGAATCAGAGTATGAATAAAGATGAAAAAGGTAACAGAAAAAAATAGTAAAACGAGAAAAGGGCTGGACATTTGAATACAATTCGACCTTTGTCATTTTATAAATAAGTTGCTCTTTTGTTATTTTGATTGTTCTCTCCTCTTTCATCTCTCACCTTTCACCTTTCTCTCTCCATTACTACTTTATCATCACTCTTATTTACTTTTTGCCATATTATGAAAACATAAGCCCAATGTAGAGGGCATAACCCCGATTTAACTTAAGCACAATATTTACTTATAATTTGTGACATGACGTCTTTTTCATTGGCGTTTTTTTCGTGCTCTCTCTCTCTCTCGGTTTTTAATATATTATCATATTATATTTATATCAAAATCTTTGTTATTCATTATCACTCTTTCCCATTGATGTTATTGTGATTTTATTGAAAGAAGAAGAAAAAAACTTTTCTTTCTCGATACTCGATATAATCGTTTCTGTGGGGTTCGTTGTGTGTTACCATAATACTCACCATACATATTCACCATTATCACCACCACCCGACATTAAACACACACACAGGGACAAACCTCTGTATCTTGTTAGTTGTGTGTCTATGTGCATGTACTGTGTTTGTATACGTGTACAGATCATATTTAGAACGCACCATTTAACCAATTTAGCCTCGATAATCGGCTCAGCCCCGCCCAATTGACTCCCATTTTCATGTAAATATCTTGATTAGTCATCAACAGGATTGATTGTTGAATCTTATGTTTGATTATATTATTAACAAGCATTATCAATAATAACAATGAGAATGATAATATTTTCCCATTATTATTGAATATTATACTTATTTATCATTATTACTTTTCTTATATAAGTTTTAAAACCTATTATAACTTATGAATATACATAATATTTGAATTAGTCTGTTGTTGTTTGCAGTTAATTGTTTAAATTGTTGTTAGTTAAACTTATATATATGGACAATCAACTACTAGTATTATTATCATAAAGTGAAAATTGTTTGATATTGGATTGAAGATAATGTTCATGTTTGGGTTAACCATGATGATAATTTTTTTCATCAATATTGATTGTTTACTCTTATTATTTAGGTTAACAATTATCAGTTATTAATTATTTATTTGATTTTCTTTCTATTTACAGTTACATGACTGTTGGTTGTTCTGCACTTAAATTAATCCTGAAAAATTTTGCCACAATCATCAAGACCAATATAACCGCACCTCCTGGAATCGGTGTTGATATATCAAGAGAGGAAAGGTTTGTGTACAATAATCATAATAATAATTGATTGTTGATCAACATTAATGAAAAATAATCAACAAGTAACAATAATAATACAACAATAATATTACAACTGGATATTTATGAGAATCAAAATTTCCCGCTCTATTCTTACAAGATTAATTATCATCGACAATCAAACTGATTATTATTATTATTATTTGAAAAGCAATTTAAAAGCTAATTGTTTTTAGGTACGAAAATTTTTACCTCCAATAACTAGACAATAACAAAAAATTTACTAACCATAGGTAATAATTAAAATACTGATGATAATAAGCCAATACACAATTGAATGCTAATGATACTTGTGTCGATGATAATTATTACTGTTATAATAATTTCAGGAGAAAAGGAAAGTTATAATAATAACAATTGGAAAATTATAATAATATAACAAGCGTAATCGTTATTATTACTTGGTTAAATCAATTAGAATGAATCAAATGGTGAGAATCAATCAACTTTAACCTACTAATAATTAAAAAGCAAACTAATGACCAATACTCATTTCCAAAGATATTGACCAGTAACTAGTTTTGTTTGGAGAAAAAGCAAAACCAAACCTAATGGAGTTAATTTTAACTCTATGATCTTTATTGTTTTTACTTTAGTCAACTGAACATACAATTAAATTAAATTGTGATTCAGTGATAGATTGATTTTTTGGCCATTCGCTGGTTCCAAACCACATAATTTAAGGCCAAAAAATTAAAGAGCTTGGACTTGTCTTGTTATACCTTTGAACAGTCCAAGAAACGATACTGACCCAACCTCACCTTTAACTCTTTATGCAGTTAGTTAATAGTCACTCCCCTTTGTATGCCTACTTTTGGACAATAGCCTTATGATAATCGTTGGTTTACCTTTTTCTACCTTTGTTTACCTGTCCAGTTTTGGTCCTTGTGTATGTGTATTTGTCTACAGTTGAATGCACTAACTGCCGACTTCATTATGCAGAAAACATCGTTTCATCATCATCTCCGTTAATTGATTACTATGGTTAATTTTTCTGTTTTTTTTCCTTTGCAAGTTGATTAACTTTCGCATTGTACTTTTCTTGCTTATCTTAACCTTTTGATGCTTTTACTGCAAGTTAATTGTCCGTTCATAACTTTAACTCTATTTACTATTACGTTGATCAATTTAACATGGTTAACATATCTACAAGTAATTATATGTATCTTTTACTTTACCTTTTTCCTCCTCCTTTAACTTTATCCTGAGTTTGGTTATGTTTGATCATCTCTATTGGTCATTTTATGATTAGTTATCATTTTCCTCCTAATGACCATTGAGAATTATCCTCTTACCAAATACCTGCTGCTGTTGATTCATTTTTCCCATTGATTTGATAGAATCAGTTCAACTTGATTAGCTTCAATTATTTGCTATTTTCGTATTAGCTTTGGTTTCATATTCACTGTCAGTGTATTTTTTTTACACCAACTCTTCAGTATTGTTGATCAACTAACTGTTTATTTGATTAGTAACAATATTTAGACACTTTGATTGACCATTTCATACGCTTTGATGACCTTTACTTTGCTTCATTTCGCAGCAATTTTTTTGCTCTTTTTCTCCCTCATCATCACGATCTCTATGAGTTTTTGTAGTTTTTTTCCTCCTCAATCTCCCTTTTTGATTCTTCTGATGTAATTCAATCAACTCTCACTCGTTTTAATGGCTTTAGATCCTTTAATGGACCAAATAAGCACCAATATATTTATTATAATAATAGTATTAAAATATAGGGAGAGAGAAACGGATGATTGACTATGTTAGTCTTTTTCTGTTCCTTTTTTCTCCATTGAACTTGAACAAGAAGATGAAGATGAAGATAACGATAATGATTATGATGATGATACTTTTTGAAATAGATACATCGTTTTCATCATATTTTTCTTAACCTTTTATATTGATATCATTTTCAAGATAACTGTAAGGTCTCTTCCCCTTTTTGATGATAGCACCCAAAAGTCCCTTAGCAGGGAGGAATGAGAGATGATAATGATGATGGAGAGTTGAGAGACTTTATTCTAGCATTTTGTTCTGGTTGGTTCCTTTTCTGTAACCATTTTTTGGCCAAAAATGGATTGGGAGTCAGTGAGAGACAACCAAAAAGAGGAGGAGGAGGATAAAGATGAAGAAAGAGAGAGAGAGAGAGAGAGAGAGAGAGAGGGTGAGGATTTGTAAAGTATCTGTTTATCAATTGACTTGCAGCGAAATCTCTCTCTCTCTCTCTCTCGCATTTTACATATGCATTAACAGAAACAACTCAATCTTTGCTTTTCTTTTCTCATCATTATCATCTCTCTTGCTCTCTTTATTCTCCATCACACTCTCACCCATCATCTTCCAGTTTGACAAGGGAGAAACCGATCTAGAAGGACAAGTATCCAAAGCATATTGGACTCGAGCCTACTTTTCATGTCTAACGGCCACACGAATAATTTTAATATATTCAATGTGCATATCGACGGCGATCAACTAAAAACTGTACATTAACCTGAAACGCGTAAAATGAGTTGTAAAATTGCGTCGAAAACCACCCCCACTAGAGAGCCTCCTACTCTTCCTTTCTCTTTCTCTCCTTCTTACAGTTCTTCTCCTTTTTCTCTCTATCTATTTATAAGATGTTATCTTCTCAAAATGATATACATCTCTCTCCATCCCTGAATAACTTATATACTCATTTGTATATCGATGATATACTTTAATGTCAACTTGTGATTGGTAATATTGATAAGATTGTTGTTAATTTGAATGCCCTTTCTATGACCCTGTTAGTGTTTCCATTCAGAACTATTAATCTGTCCATTATTATTATCAATTGAATCGCCATCATCTCCACTTTTTTTTATACTTCATCTTTTATCCTCAATCAATGAAGTTGTATGTTTTTTTGACAAACACAAAAATCAAGTTAACTTTGGTTTATGGATATCACTAGACTATCAATTTGATAATCATTGTATGTGTTTAATATACACAATCCAAGTGATTTAACAAAGAGACTTGGTTAGTAATAATAACGATCCATGATAACGATCATGATGATTATCATCATTATTATGATATTATTACGATGACAGGGAAAGAAACAGGAAGAATATATAAAAGTTTTTCGCCTCTTCCTCTTTAATCAAAACCATTACCTTTTTTTTACGATGATTACTATGAATATAATCATCATCTTAAGATCTTGATGATAATCTTGATCTTTTATCCCTATTCTTGTCTTGACCCTTGACCCATCCTCAAATATTTACTGTTGTTCTCTCTCTCTCGGTCTTGTTATTTTCTAAATCTTGTTTACCTTTAACTCACTTAACATCTTCTTCATCATCAATTCAATATCATTTGATTTGATGCTCATTTTACTGTATCATCTTCATCGTCCACTCTTCTCTCCCCATTAAATCCCCTTTTCATCCTAATCTCTTCCATCTCTCTTTCTCTTTCTCTCTCTCTCTTCTTTCACTCCTACTTCTCTTCCTCCTCTTCTACTCAATATCTGTTACCTCTTGTTGACATTATCATTATCTATTCACCATTTTGTGTATTTATGTTGATATGTTTCAACTTTTTTTCTTCTTCTAGATAATCTTACTCCTTATGATGACTATCAAGTTACCTTTGATTATTTATCATTATAATAACTTAATCCCTTCATTTAGAGTAAGAAAAAAATACTCATCAATATGGTTCTCATCCTGTGTTGATATTACACTCTCTGGTTAAACTCCCCCTCATCATCAACATTACACCCAGTTCACCTTTCAACTCAATATCTTTCTCTCTCTCTCTCAATATTGACAAATACTCGGCTGTAATATTATTCTGTTAGCATTGTTATTGTTGTCTACCATTATTATTGTTACTTTTGATTATCAATCAATCAAATCACCCATGTAGAAATCAATTAATTAGAAGAGGGTGTTAAAGTGTCACCAGAAAGAAAGTTGAATTACCTAATGACAGAAAATCAATCTCATTCTCTAATTATATGAATTTTCTCTCTCTCTCTCTCTCTTTTGATTTATTAATCAATCCACAGGTACCACAAGTGTATGGGAGTTTACAATCACCTATTAAATGTCCGAGCGTTTATATTGAAACGTCAAACTCTCCAAGGAAAATTAGGACGAACATTTAGAGAATTGTCAATTCTATTCCAAAATCTGGAGTAAATCAAATTTACGAAACAAAAAGACTACAAAGATGAATTATTATTATTATTATCGAGCAACAACAATTAACCTTTTTTACCACAAAAATAAATCAACTAAACTGACCCATGACCGAAGACAACAATGACCACACACTCAAGTGCCACCAACTCACTTTCTCTCTGTGATTGTTTACAATATCAATCAATTTACCTTGTCAACTAATCCTTTCATTGATATTTTCTCTCTCTCTCTCTCTCTCACTCTCATTCTCTCTCCTACAAATTGTAACAATTTCATTCATGAGGGAAAAGTTCATTGAATTGACTTTTACTTTATTACATTGATCTTTATTTTTCCACTGGAAACAAGTAACAAGTATTACCCTGAGGTCTTATTGTTTGTATCCTTCAAAGATTAGTGACAAAAGTTAAGAAGCAGATTAAAGGAGTTGCTGTGGATTTGGATATAAATATAAAAATGCAACATTGTGATAAACTGGACCAATGATATTCCCATACAGAAGTAAAATCCAATTCCAAGAGAAATGTTTATCTTATTGTTAATCCAATTTTAAGAAAAAAAAATGAAAAAAAAACAATCATCATAATAAAAAGAAAATAACAATTTAAGTCAAAATGAGTTACAAAATTGAAAGTTAATTCCTATTTGGATATCGAAAGGATTAACCTAATCGCCGTGTTTTGGTTTTCCGACAATGAGACAAAATCTTAGAGATTCGGACATTGACCATGTAAAGTTTTCTTGACCAATTTTACTATTTAAGTGTTTCTTTTATTGGTCAATTGTCTAAATCATTTCCATTTGTTCAAAGGATTGACCACTAAAAGTGACTTGTGACCTTTGAAGTTTCTCACCGACTCGCCTAAGGTTCCAGTCCAATTGTGATGAACTAATTGTCAAAAAGTTTTCCTTTATTATTGTCTGATTGTTAAAACAAAAGGAATCAATGAGAAATTGATTAACCATTGTTACCTACCTACTGTAACCCTTGACCCTTGAGGGGAGAAAATTTTTTCAATGGAAAAAATTTCAATTTCAAAGTTACAATTACTTGGAATTTTGATTAAACTCATTAAGGGAAGAGGATTAATTATGTTGTTGGTGTTAATCTTCATCTATTAGGTTAACCTGGATTAGTATTGGAAGGAGACAAAATTAGCAGGAAATTTGGTCAAACTTTTTTGAATGATCGACAGATCGTATTTAGGTCAAGAGTCGCGCGATTAACTCACATCATTTGAGCAAATCGTCGAGAACGATAAACTTTAACTTTGATTAGTTGATTGTTTTCATTACAATTTAAGTTCCCCCAATCAATATGATTCCAATTGAACAGTTATTCAAATATTTTACATTTCCAAAAGTTGTTCCCAATCAAAAGGATAAATTTCAATCCGATCCACTGTTTTGCCGATTAAGTCGTGAATCTGAGGTAAGGCAATCATCATCAGCTAATTAATCTTTAAATTAATTGATTATTAATTGTTCTATCACATTGATTTGTTTAGATTCAATATGTTGGTTACAAGGATCGCTCTTTATTTCACCGTAAGAGAAAGTTCATTAATGAAATTGAATCCGGAACAGTAAATATTGTAAGTTAATTTCGATTGTCAAAAATTATTTATATTCTTATTTTAATTCTAATCACAATTAACATTAATTTCAGGTATTTGTGTCAACCGCAATTCACTTACAACTAATTTTGAGCCCCGGTAATATTAATATCCTGGAAAATAGAAAGGTAAGTTGACCGTATTGACCACCAGAACTTTGGACAATTTTTTACTGTTGAAAATTTGCTAATGAAAATTTTAATATTTCCACTTTCAGGTTGAATTCAGATCAAGTTTAATTTTTAACGGTGTTTGTGTCCAGTGTAAGGGTTGGATTGACCTGGAGAAACTTGAAGGAATCGGTTGTCTTGAATACGATCATGTGAATGGTGAAATTGAAGATACTCTCCTGAAAGAGCAGATTAAAAAAAGGCCACAAGAAAATGATACAATCGATCAGCACCTTCGGACATTTCAATCAACATCCCATCGAGTTAAAGTGTAATTCATATAAAATATCGTGATATCTTTTTGTACCTAATTAATTGTTATCTATTTGTAATTAATGTTAAATCAGAACAAAAAAGAGGAATAAAACTTTTCTTTGTTTACCTTAATTGTGTGTAACCAATTTCCAAAATCTTAACAAGTGAATAGACAAAATTGAAAGGTAATTTAGTCCCACTTAGCCCCTGACAATGACCACTAAAGGTAAAAAGCAGGTAAAAGGTAAAGTCGGACAAGACCTTTCGCTTAATGTATCATCATTATCATGTATTGTCCAGTAGTAGTGATGGATGTCCATAACACTTAGGTGTGAATTTTTTCAATCCAAAACCTTTTCGTCAATTTCTCCCACCGTCTCTCTCATTAGCACATCGTTTCACTCTTCCATTCACTTATTCTCTCTCTCCTTATCCGTAGTATCTTTTGCAATCTAAACTCACAACGAAAAGAAACCTCGAAAACGAAACCAATAAAAGTCCAAAAGTCACAAAATAATAACGAAAAGCAAACTTATTATCATAATCCTGTGAATATGAATGAAATTTGCTAAATTGTGATCATCAGAATTAAGAACCTCTCCTTGTGTCTCTCTCTCTCTCTGGAGGTAATTGTCGAAATGGTTTGTTAATTGTTGTCGTTAATGAAACACGAATAAATCATTTTCTCAATGGGTTGTAAGCCAAACAGTAAACGGTTAACAAGTTCAACTAAATTTCAGAAAAGATTAGATTAAAATAATCATACATGAAAAGTAATTAAATGATTGAATCATCTTGAAGCAAAAAGTATTTGGTTGAGCAAATTGTTCATTGATTAAATTATTTTCTCCCATAAATGAGAACAACAATTAAAACCAATGGATTATGATTAACATAATATTCAAATTTCGTCACAATGAGAATGAGAGTAAAAAGCAGCAAGAAGAAAAAAAAAACTAACCCCAAATGCTCACGCATATGTTTATGTATTAGCGATTCAGTGAAATACCGCTGTGGTGATGGTGGTGGTAGTGGTCGTGGTAGTGGTCTAGATGGTGGTGGAGTGTGTGTATGTGTGTATCCACCGTCAATCCCACTTTTCCTATAGGCTGATATTGGTAATATTGGTTGGCAGTTATCATCAAAACCACCCTGACCCCGCCTTCCACTCTCCTGGAAACTCCTCCTTCATCATTTTTTTCTTCATCATCTTCTCTCTCTCTTTCTCATCATCATCATCATCCTCTCTCTCTCTCTCTCTCCCTCTTGTCTTTTTTTCTCATCTTCATTCTTGCCTCATTTCTGTCTCACACTCGACTTGATAAGCGACTTGAGTCCCTAACATTTCATGTCGTTAATATTGTAATATCATCATCTTTTCATCCTCATCTTCTTATCGTTTTCATCCTCATCCTATTCAAAGATATTACCTCAAGTGTATTGTGTTTCTGTGTATGTGTTTATCTACCTGTTACCTGTGTGTGTCTCTCTCTAAGTGTATCCATTGTGTTAATACTCATAATTAATTCAATGAGTAATTTTAATACCTTTTTGTGATCTACACAACAATTAACGGAAATTATCATTATTATTAGAGGACAAAAAGACACAATTGATTGGATTATAAGGAGATAATCTCAATCAATAAAGTGAATTTTAAACTCCAACAAAAAAATCCTAAATTCTCAATCATCTCATGATAATTGTGTGTTAACCATTTTGATAGTTAATTCAATTTCTCTTGAATTTGTTTTCGTATAACAATTAACCACCAAACAAAATGCTTCCATTTGAAACTCCAACCATTTTTGAACAATTACCTAAACAACTTTTCTCAGTACCAAAAGTTGTTTCCAATCAGAAGGATAAATTTGAATCCGATGAACTATTTCGTCGATTAAGTCGTGAATGTGAGGTATGTTAACCATCATGAGTTAATTAACTTCAAATCAATTGATTATTAATTGTTCTATCACATTGATTTGTTTAGATTCGTTATGTTGGTTATAAAGATCGCCCTTTAGTTGAACGTCGACTAAGATTTCAAACTGGATGTCGAGAGGGAACAACAGATCTCGTAAGTTAATTAACACTAATTAACAACCATCAATCAGTTAATTATATATCATCAAAATACTAATCAATATAAACTTTTACCTTTCCATCAATCACCAGGTATTTATACCAACGGGAACAAATCTACAATTAGTGTTTAATTCATGTGTAAATGGTTTTAGTGATTACTGTGATTTTGAAAAGGAAAGGAATAAGGTAAGTTGACCAATAGCTTGACCATTCTGATCACCTTGATAATCTCAATATACAATTAAACAATTGAATTCTAAACTTTGCTCTCTTGTCATCTTTACTCTCTCTCTCTCTCTCCCATGTGATTTCAGGTTCATTTTAAGTCAAGTTTCATCATGAATGGTGTTTGTGTCTACTGTAAGGGTTGGATTGACCTGGAGAAACTTGAAGGTATCGGTTGTCTTGAATACGATCAGGAGAGAGGTGCAATTGAAGATGCTTTTCTGAGGGAGCAAATTAAGGAATGGAACGATAAAATTAAGCAGATGCAACATCCGCTAATAAGCAACGAGAAAAGTATCACCTCGAATAAATTATACGAAAAAAACGAAAGAAACAATCTGGTAAGATTAATCACCTGAAGAACGAAACAAGAAAAACAAATTAGTTCGAAAGAAAAAGTTTTTTTTTCACTTGTTCGAAATGAAAAAGTTTCACCTTAGAAAAACTTTATCATCAATACGAGGGACAAAACGTGTTAATTTATTATCAATCTCAATATAATTTATATATATTTACAATCAACAATCAAATTTGATTATTACAAAGATTTCACTTTGGTTCAACTACTCACCTTGATCATCATCATCATCATCTTCATCTTCATCTTCATCATCTTACCTGCAAGTGATGCACTGATTTTTTTTGTCTCAATGTACAGTTAATCAAATGTTAATTATTATTATTATTTTTTTGCTTGATTATTTTGCTTACAATTTAATTAATTGTGGACTTGCCTTGATTGACCATTTAATACATTGACCATCCACTTTCCCACCCTGATAATCATCATCTCATCTAAATCTATTCCTTGATTCCTATTACCACCACCACCGATTTACTATTAATTACCACCTTGATTAGTTAACAATGATGATTAACAATATTGATTATTTTTAAATCTCAATCAATTAATCACCACAATTAACTTAAAAAATGATTTGACTCTGTTTAATGTTGATCGCAATGAGAAACATTTAAAAAAAAACAACACCAAAATCAATTTAATTGTTACCAAATACAAATAATACTTTTAAACCAATTACAATTGTTAGACTGACAATTTAATTATTTGACTCGTTTATTCAATTAACCTTAATCACAATCAAGTAAATTGATATACATTTCTACCTGTGTAAAAATTTAACAAATCAATTGACAATTGCAATGTAATAATAATTATATTATAATAATATTTTTCTCAATCAACAATTTACAATTTAAATTGCAAATTTACAAATGAAATGAAAATGTTAACTGAAAATCAATAATTTAAATATAACAATCAATCAAAACAACAAACAAAAAGTTGATTAATTAATTGATAGATTAAAACAAATCATTTACCAATAGTAAACATGATTAATTGTTACAAGAAGCTGAATGAAAATGATTATTAATACAAAAAGTAAATATTAAACAAAGAAAAGTAATGGTCAGTTTATGTGTATGATGGTCAAGTATAAGTTATTTTTTTTTTGTTGAAAAAAAGGTCAACACCATGTAAAATTATATTATTACACTATTATTATGATAAGGGTATAATTGTGACCGTTTATCGGCTTAAATGGCCATTAACCCGTCAATTTAAAGGGAAAACCTGAACACCCAAAGTCACAGTCAGTTAGCTGAAAGTAGTTACAAGATTTTGCTACTGTCACTTTACCTTCATCATCATCATCATCTTAATCTTCCTCTTTCTCCCTCCCTCTCTCTCTCTCTCTCTCTCTCTCTCTCTCTTACCTGTTTGTTTTTGTAGTACTTACCTTTGTTTTCCCAGACACACAAATATGAATTAAATTGTAAGAGTCTATGAGAGAGTGAGAAAGGTGATTAAATGGTTGGTGGAGGGTTTTCATGTTCCTTAATAGTGTTGATATGATACTCCGGAAGCCTCTAATTACCTTGATTTTGTTTTGAACAAGTTGAAGATAATGATGATGATTAAGAGAGAGAGAGAGAGAGCTCTAATTTAATAGTTTGCAATTTAAATTGTTAATTCAATTGATTCTTTTGTGCCTGTTTGTTTATTTACGGTTTTTGGTTTTCTCTTTCTTACCTTTTACCTCTAAACTCATTGTGGTCAAATATTAACACACTTTAAGGTCAGTCTCTTGTTTGTTTGCTGGACACAAGGAGAAGAAGAAGAAGAAAACGAAACCAGGTCAATGATAGTTGGAGACAAATTTAGGATTTGAAAGGGTCAATTTGTGTTGACATTGGTCATTGTGAGACCTTTGATTATCAATCGATCAATTTTCAAAGAATAGAAAATATCAAAATGTTTATTTCTTTTCTCTTCACAAACTCATAGATTTTATCATCTAGTCTCTCTCTCTCTCTCTCTCTCGTCATGGCTAATTGTGATATCTCTTTACAATATCATCATCATCATCTTACTCATTCTCATTATCAATGTAAATAATGATGATGATAATAACAGGTAAAAAAAGAGACTAAGATAAGATAATTAGTCAACTATTTAGTAGTAACTTTTTAATTGTAATAGCTGCAAAAACGATTCAGTGAGAACGATTCTCAGGCCAGTTTTTGTTTGTTGATACTGTCAGTTGAGGTTCTAACCTTTCCTACCTGAGTGTCTATTATTAAATAATAATAACACACGAAGGATATATTAGACATGGTCACTTGGTGTTTCCACTTGGTAAAGTATGAAAATGATGACCAGAGTAATGATGAACATGATGATGATAAAGTTATTCTCAAAGAAAAGTATCATCATCATGATAATAATTAAAATCTTACTCACTCATTGTTAAAAGATAAAACCACTTTGGGTCAGTCATTAGTGGACACTAATAGATGAGTTAACCTCGAATTTGAATTTTCAAACTTCCACTAATCTTTCGTATTCTCAATCAATCCTGATGATGACACAATTAGAACTTTCAACCAAAGATTTAATATCAAGGGTGTTTTTTCATGTTCCTCTTTCCCTCTATGGTGGAAAAAGGAAGCGGTGGGAAAAAGTAAAATGATAATCACGATGAAATAAGATGTAACTGTCATCTCTTATTTCAAAGGTTGATGATTTTGCGCGTTTTTTTTCACGTTCATTCAAAAAGTATCATGATGATGATCTGTTTTCTCACCATCATCTCATCAACATCATTCAACAAAATCTCTTCTACTCTTATTATCACTCTTACCCTCCATCTTCCCTTTATCATTATCATCATCTCCAAGTTGTTCTCTCTCTCTCTCCAATCCATTATATCATCAAATTCAATGTTTCTCCAGTTTCAAGTTGATTATTGAGTCACAAGTCTTTTGGTTACTCGATGAAACTTTTCCTGGTTTTCCTCCTTTCATTTTCCACCCAACAACCTTACCACCACCTCCTCCTCTTCCTCCTTCTCCGCCTTCATCTCTCAACATCATCATCATCTCTTTCTCTCTCTCTGATCAATATTCTGGTTTATCGATCGATTCACATTCACCACACAAGAAAACACAGATTGGGTATAAAAATACTTCTTTTGGGTTCCACTACTTCCTCTTCCTCTTCATCCTCATCATCAATACTTGATATTGAGTCTTTTTTGATTGGTTCTCTTCCTCTCTCTCTCTCTCTTTCTCCCAGCACACTTATCCATTGTATCTACTTTTATCATCATCATCATCATCTTCATAATCCTCCACCCAATCTATTTTCACAGCAAATTCACTAGAAATAACCAATACCCTATATTGAATCTATACTTTCAATATCTTTATGTATATATTGAGTATATTATGTATATCATTTCATTATTATTATTATAGAATCAAAATCAACAACAGAATCAATTTTCATGATAATATTTTCACTTGTTCATGATTTTTCATGATTAGATTCACTTACCATCCAATTAACTTTACTTATTGTCTCATCATCAGATTTAACTTTACTTGAATCATGGAGATGGTAAAAGAAAAACAAATTTATCATCATCATCATCTTCATTAGCATTATCATGAGGATGATGAAATTTTGATAATAATCATGTAAAAAAAGGTATAAAAAAACCCTGAATCTCTCAATGAATTTCAATTTACTCAAAGTGGCTCTTGCTCATGTTAATTATACAATTAATGTGAATTCATTATCATCAAGATAAGATATTCAAGTTTGTGTTGTTTTTTTTTGTTTCGTACAATTTAAATTGTTGTTGTTGTTGTTTTCTTAATTGCTATCAGCTCATCTGAAACAATTAATCAACAAACCTCCAAGGCTTACACTTTATTCACACTTTCATTCTGGAATCGTCATGAATTTTGAGAACCCTTTTTCTTTGAATTAATTGTTATCATTGTGGTACTTTTTTTAGTTACATTAGTTTATCTTCATCACCATCATCATCGTTTTTATCATCATTTCCATTCCCATTCTCATCAGTTTTAAAACGAGTTACCCAATCTTGATGGTTCTCAGTTATGATTCCGTTTTTAACTGAATTAACTGATTCCTCTTATCTTATTAGAAATGGACACGAGTTGAAGTGTGTGTGTGTGTGTTGTTGTTGTTGTTGGTGTTGTTGGTGTTTCAATGGTCAACACTCATTGACAGAATTTCTGTTTTCTTTTTTTCGAATAATATTTTTCTTCTTTCTCTTTCAATAAACAACAACAACAACGACAGGTAATCAACATGAAAAGGTAGCAATATGATTGACAGGATTTACCTTTATCTTTGACACACCAAACAAAATGAAGTGTAAACTTAAACTCTCATCAGCGTTTATAATAACACCCTTTCAATGGCCGATATTGAGGATGAGTAATATAAATAGTCACAGGTATGAAATGGTTACCTGGATGAATTGAGGTCAACTGAAGAGTGGAAGATGAAGATGAAGAGAGAGAGAGAGGAGGAAATGAAAGATCGAGATGGTTCAAGTTTTTCTTTCTCTATTTTCCTTGTTGTTATTTCCTCGATTGTTTAGTTTTTCATTGATCGTTTTTCTTGATTGTATTTTGCTCCTTCAATGACTTAGTCCAACAATTAGATTTAATAAATGTGTAATATTTTGACAATCCTTGATTTCGTCCTCAACATATAAATATCATCAACAATCAAGCATAAATTGTAACAATCAATGTGTTACCTTTCAAATGAGTAGCTATTTTTTTGAGAAATGATTTTATTATTAAGTTTGATAATCTAAACCATTTAATGGATCTAATGAAATGTAAATTGTTACTTTAATTGTTGACAATTTTCTCAATCGTTTGACAGTTTAAAAGCCATAATTGTTTACCTATTTATCCCTTGATTGTTCACAATTAATAGATTGATCTTTTTTTTTTGCTTCTCGCGTTCAATTTGCTAATCAAACTTTTG